AACGAGTCTTGGTGGTGACATCCGAATGAGGAGGTTGAAGGTTTGTGGAGGGGTTGCAGGGAGGAGCAGGTACCGATACCTCCAAGGATCACCAAGTTAGGCACGCAGTGCCAGGTATCTGATACTTGGATCTCTTCCGTCCCGTGTGGGGAACCCCCCTTCCGGCCGCTTGTGCCCGCCTCGCTCCAACTTGCCGTATGGAGGGCTGAACTGTCCAACAACCGAGACAGAGTTCTGTCGTCGACTGTCACTGCTGTACATCACCATTACACGTTGCCATCACCATCACCATCACCACCAGCCGCCATCGTCGGCACCCTCTCTGCACACAGGATCAGACCAGCTTAAAAAAACCCTGCAGGCACCCATGTCCTGGCCACAGGGCCTCTGCGCTGCCCAGCTCTGTTCTCTGCCCTCCTTCTTCTGCCCCTCCAGAGGGCGAGTCTTTGCAGCCAGCTCCCACCAGATCACCGCCCCCAAGTTGCATGATGTGGCGTTGACGATCTTGCTGATCAGAGTCAAAGTCTTGCGTGTCCTTGGGAGATGCCGACCGACCAGAGACTAAATGAACCGGACAGCCAGATCAAGATCAAGATTCAAGTCCAGTCTACACTACAGCTCACTAAGCATTCCATGTAGCAGCGTCCTGCTACTGTATGCCCCACGCACACATGCGGTATAGCCATGACACTTGGCTGTGGGTGAACCCGGTGCTTTGGTGATGGCGGATCGACCAGTCCAGCCCGGTGACACATGGCGTGCCGGGGGAACGCCCAGACACTACCATAGTACTCAACAGTCATCACCCTCAGTCCTGTCCATCCTCGGAGACTCGGAGAGCACAACACACGGGCCCTGGCGTTGACCATCTCATTTCGTGCTACTCTGTCGGGCCCGGACGCCAGAAAGTCAGCCACACACCCAGACAACTGCCTCGTCCAGACTACCACACCCAGTCAGCAGAAGGGTAGGGCAGATTCTGTGCTGTCAGTCCGTCCATTCCATACCCTGGGCAACACTCTCTGCCGTTTCGCCTTCGTCCAGTTGAAGCCGAACAGGCCTGAGTGCGGCCTCACAGTGTCCGTTCCAAAGCCACTGCCTAGGGCTACTAGCGACGGACCGAAGCCATGGTGACAGCCACCCATCTAAAACTGCGGCTTTTAATGAGCACTTCTTTGGATGTGGCCCGGTCGCCGTTGTTGGGACAGCGATTGCTCCAACTTTGATCTACCGGTACCAAAGCCCAACAGCAATGCTCGGAGAGCGGAGTACTGGCGACAAGACCACTTGCCGGGCCCATTCCGTCACACAAAGACGATGTCCAACAAGTGCCGCAGTGCACCACGAAAATTCAACAAGCTCGTCTTGGTAGATCGCAATAGTCTGCCACCGCTGGGCCCCGGTACTTGGATCCGGCACCACGTCGGACACGCTCTAGACCTTTGCGTGTATCTACGTCTGCGGTTAGGACACCGTGCTCCCTGGACCACGCGGTAGACTTCCGTCTGGCTGTGTCGGGGGCTGTTCGGATCCACTGGTCAGCAAACCCCCAGTTTTTTCCCCTTGTCACCTTTCGGAGACTTGTTCCAGTCACCACACGGCAAGTTCCATCTGGCCCTTGCTACAGAACCTATGTACGTAGATTGTGTCCCGCATACTGTATTGCATGGTGCTGTGTACTGTGGTACGTACATGGGTCGCTCCGGCACGTTGCCAGCTTTCCCGCATCCCCTTGTGCCTGGGAAAAGCCAAGTCGGAGCAGTTGCGTGTATAGTGGGTCCCGACCAAACCAGCTCCCACCCCTTACTAGATGCATACAGCCACAGGGCCTGCATAGCCAGGAAGCCGGGAACAAGCCTCAAATTGGCCAAATGTCCCTGGCAGTCTTTGAGAAACGCGCATCAGCAGCGAGCAATTCCCGTCGAGCGCAATGTATTCCTTTCAGAGTTGGCGGCGGCGCCATCTAACGCCACGCGTTTGAGAAAACTGTGCCCATGCCTTGTCGAGGAGCTTGCCACCCCTTCATTCCTGCGCTGCAGGCCGTGGGCAGGGAGCAAGCAGCCGTTGCGTGCGGAGCAAGCACGGCCGGCTGACCACGTCTCTGCTGTGGACTCGTCGACGCCACTTCGGGCACGGTGCCGTTGACATGGAGCCAATGCCCTACGCGGGAAATCACGTCGCATGGCTCTTGGCTTGGCGGACAACTTGTTCAAGCCAGCCACGCCGGACAGTCTGTTTGGCGATATTCCGCCCCGACGGATACAGGAATCAGATACAGGATGATATGCGCCGAGGGCAGTGTTGCAAAAGAGGCTCGGCGACGTCGCCAGAACCCCCTGATATCTCAATCTTGAGTTGTGTGGGACTCTGCGTTGCCGAACTCCTGCCTTGTTTCATTGATCGAAGCGAGGAGGATCTGGATCCATTCCACACAACCACAGCCATGTCCATTCTAGGGAGACTTGACCCGGCAGTGGGGAAAATTCGCCGGTGCGGCGTCGCTGTCAGTAAAATCCCCGATCTCTGGGTCCGCCAATCGCTAGCCAGCCAGACCACAGAACTACGGTACCTGGTACCGATGCGGTTCGCGGACAACAAGCTCAGTCAGATTCTCACGCCACAGGCAATCGGAATTCGTAGGTGGTGTACAGTCAGGGCCAACAGCTCCCCAGTGTATATAAGACAGGTGACACCGGGTTTGGACGAAAGTCTTTATAACAATAGTGAGTGCATATCATGTGCCGAACCAAGCGCAGACATCCTTGTTAACGCAAACCAGACACCAGAGGTACTAACACGATTTCGGCGACCAGGCCGACGTTTTCTCCAGCAAAGCGACGGCGCAAGTCATCAACGGCCACGACGGGTAGCGCACGGAGGGTCGCGGCTACAACCACTTGTATAGGTACCTAGTACAGTGCTGGACATGCCAACATTCCACACGTCTCACACCATTTTTTTCAACTAATAGGAACACAACACTGGCGACGCATGCGCCTGCAGGGTTCAGGTCCGTCCATTCAAGCTTCCGTGGTAGCCATCGACAAGTACCCATTCAGAGCGGCAGCCGAAGCGCAGCCCATGAAGGGGTCTCCCAGTCGCATGAACATGATTTCGGCACCCCTCTAGCTCGCCATCAGTTGAAACCTTGTCATAATTAGAAGCATGGCACCCACATGCCAGAAAAGGGGTAGGAAGCCGCATGGCACCTAATGTTTGGATACTTCAGGATGTTCATCAGTCTTGAGTGTAACATCTTGCAACGCCATGAAGTGTCGTCGCCTGGCCAGCTAACTATACAGTCACCATGCAATAGGTCTCAAAGGTGAGGGCAGCGTGGAGGCTGCCGCCTTCAGCTGATATGTGTCCTTGCTTAGCCTGACTGTCAGCTGGCGCCCAGAGGCGGGCAGCTGTTAGTTGTCTGGAAGCGACACTCTATTTTGTTACCAGCCTGGGAACGGGAAAGTGCCCGGCTTGTCACCACCGGGAATGCAGCAACATTCACCCATGACTTAATTCAGCTCCTGTATACGCATAGGTCACTTCGACTGCAGATGCTGAACCATGGGGAACAGGGGCTTGCTCTGGGGTCCATGACTAGCAGGTCTACAGGTCACAGAAGAAAACGCCTGCCCACAGCCCCTTGGGCCGCGAAACACGCCAGCGATGCCGGTTGTTGAACAGCATTCAAGATCTCTTGGTTTGCCCTAGCCACTGTGCACCAGGGGGACCTCGTCAAGTGGGCCTAGAGGATTCATCTCTCCAGATAATTCTTCCGATTCAGCGTTAAGACGCGGAGAGCCCCGGCAAGCTGCAACCCCTGACCGGATGGACCAGCAGAGTCGGAGACGGCGTGCATGGTGCCTACTGCGCAGTACTACGTACGTACAGGCAGGGTACCAGTACGTACCGAGACAGCTCCTCCCTCCACATCGATCTCCACTTACAGGCCCCAACTTGTCATGGCAAGTCAAAGTCAAGCTTGCATGGATTCACGGAGATCTCCTTTCACTCCCTCTCGAGCCGAGCTAAGTTCACCTCGGCGCCATACTTGTCGACGTTTCCTTCGACATACTAGTAGTCGTCTTTTCCTCTAGTCATCCCATAGGCCTAGACTCTTCGTTTTCCCTGTCTTGTCATCACCTGCGCAAGCCCTGTCTCCTAAGCTTGCATGTTCCTCGATCTTCATCGGCAGGATCCTCTCTCTGTTTGCCGACTAATTCCGGACGTGCTTCTAGCCTGCTCAGCTCTGCAACTTGACGGCTCGGTGGAACTGACCTGCATCTTTCGTACGGAAGTCTGCGAGATTGGCTGCGGATATTGTGTTGCCAAACGTCAATCTCTTGTCCAACTCCCCTGTCCCCGAAAGAAGCGGCCAGGTACTTCCTTCGGCAACCTGGAGCGAGATTTTACGCCAACTGGGCAGTCGCATACCAGCAGATGCAGCACTGTGCTTGTCGACGTGCTTGACGACGGACTGGATCCTATTTGGGCCCATTGTGGAATCGAAGATTCACGAGAGCCAACTGAAGGGAAAGTCTGACGAACAGCTGTATGACACCACGGACCAGAACGCATCGGGGTTGCACAGGAACTGCAGCACTGCGAAGTTACCGCCAAAGAGGAAACACCTATCAGTGCCCTGACGAATTGGGTTGGAGAGTGCTTGAGACATTTCTGCGTTGCCAATCCTGATCGCCCTGGTAGATACCGACCGGTCTTTGTGTGTGCCAGGCCAGACGTGGTTTCGATTCGGGGGCCGTAGAGGGAGGCAGGTAGATGGTGGAGCAAGTCCGCCACCCATTCATCGCAGTCCTCACTTCATCCACAAGTCGTCCTCTGGTCCGGCCGACCAAAGACAGAAGACAAGCAGACTACCCCCAGAAATATAACTCTGCATGTTTCTCGACAGACAGCTCCCCGGAATCTCGCCTATTGGGGAGCTTGTGGGGTCCTTGCCGAACAAGACCAGAGGTCACTGGTCTCTAGAATCGTCGAACATGGCAGCCGCGTCACACAACCAATATCCTCGATCTCCCAACCCCTCCACAAGGTCATACGACTCTTCATCAGTATCTTCTGCAACTTCTCCAGCGCCGCCTGCCCAGTACTTGGGCGGCTTGATGAGCACAAGTGCGAGGTCGAACCCGGCGCCAGCACCACACCCCATCGGCATTCCCCCATTGCCCCCGGTTCACCAGCCTTCGTCCTTCCAGCCGTACACTCCAGTCACAGCGACGACCATGATCGGACGGGACTCTCTACCGTCGAATGACTCCGTTGCCAGCACACCAGGAACAGCCAATGCCCAGCTCCCGCCAACATCCGCCAGCAGTAGCAATGTCCAGCAGAAGCGGGCTTACCGCCAGAGGAGAAAAGACCCCAGCTGCGACGCCTGCCGAGAACGCAAGGTCAAGTGCGACGCGACAGAGACGACAAGCTGTTCCGAGTGCTCTAGCCGGAATGTCAAGTGCCAGTTCACTAAGGAGACGAATCGCCGCATGTCGTCCATCAAGCAAGTACAGGACCTTGAGAAGCAGATCGAACGCGTCCGCAGGGAGAACAATAGCCTCCGACGCATGATCTCGGAAAAGGACGGACAGCTGGATGTGGACGCTGAGGGCATCGAACAGCTTCCCCTTCAGCTCCCCAGCATTGGGGCGGAACCCAAGAGGAGGAAGCGCCCCGCGCCCATGCACGATCTTTCCAGGGCGCGATCGAACTTGTTGAATTTCTCCAAAGGTGTTTGGAAACCGCCAGCGCAATATCGTCACTCTCTAACTCCCACGCTGTTCGACACCCAGAGACCAGAATTGCCACCGATACAGGCGACGAAACAGCTCATTGACAGCTACTTCACCTCTACGCACAGCATGTTTCCCATCCTCCACTGGCGCACTTTTGAGCAGGGCATCGAGGAAATGTACAGGGCTCCGAACTTACAAAGTGTTCCTTTGTCGTTCATGTCAGTGTTCTTCGCCGTTCTGGCAGTGGGCAGTCTGTTCACCCCCGAGGTACCAAGCGAGCGTTCATACCGCGGTGCGGAGCTTCTCGAAATGTCACGGAAGTTAATTGATCCGTGGAACAACAACTTCGTACTCGACGATGCGCGGACACTAACTTTGCAAGCAATCTTCCTCAGCGAAATGAACCTCAAGTCCGCAGCCTGGAATTGTCTAGGGAACGCTGTTCGAGTTGCACAAGACATAGGGCTATATTCCGAATCGGGGCCGTGGCCGGTAGTCGAGGGAGAAATGCGTCGGAGAGCTTGGTGGACAATCTACATTCTTGACCGCAGCCTCTCTGTGGAGCTGGGACGGCCACTCCTAATCGACGATTCTGACTGCGACGTGTCTCTTCCTGCAGGCGTTGACGACGCCTACATTCACGACGGCGGAATGACAGTCCCTGCAGGAGCCGAGCCTCTGACGAACTCGCTGCTCGCACTTATCAACGTGGTGCGATCATACGGTGCCCTTCACAAGGCCCTTGCCTCCCCCGTGGTTGCACCGACCCGTCTGGCGACCTTCGATTCGCATTTCGCATCTTGCCTGCGAACGTTCCCGCCAGCATGCGATCCTTCGTCCCAGGTGCCGTTGAGCCCGCACCTCCTCAATCCGCTGATATATCTTCTCCACGCGCGTCTGCTGCTCCACAGGCACAACCTCACGCCCAGCTGTCCGTCCGACGTCCGCATCTCAGCGATCGAACAGTGCACCCACACAGCACTGGAAACTGCCTCCCTCATCACCCGAACCACGCCTCAGCTTCCCGACGGAGCAACTGCCCTGCTCGCCATGCACCTCTTCCGCTGCACACTCTTCCTACTGCTCGCGGGATACCTGGATGCAGCCACCGCCTGTATCCGCGCACTGGCCGCCATCGGCACTCGACGAGATGTCACGGCACCGTGTGGTCGGTTCCTGGCGTTCTTCGCGGCGGTGCTAGCGGGCAAAAAGACCGAGTATGCGGCCTACATCGCCAGGAGCAGCCCGCAAACCCTTGCACAGCCGCCGCCCGCCGCTGGAAGACCGCAGCCTAGTCCGCTACAGGACGCTCTACTCAGGGATGAGGAGCTGCTCGTCTACGTCAGTGCGGATCTTCAGGCAGGCCCAGAGACCGGATGGGTTTGGGCGGGCGGGGAACGGGATGCCCAGGCTCAGCAGTCCCCCAGCCCGGGGCTGGTACGAGGCGGCTCTTCGGGCAACGGAAAGGGAGCGTTGTTTAGCTCGGAAGCCAGGACCGGTCTGAGCGAGGAAGAGAGCCGGGACTGGGGGGGATGGGAGAGAGTGGAGGGCTTAATCCGCGGGCTGTCATCCGGGTCGACTACGCCTACGGCGCCGGCCAGCGGTGGACCGTGGGCCCATGCACGACCAGCCACCCTACCGCCGCCGCCGGGACCGCCATTGCAGGTCAAGATGGAACCGGGGATGGGGCAGGGGCCTCCAGCAGCTGGTCCCAGCGGCGGGGGAGGAAGCAATGGCAATAGCCCAACGACGGGCAAGACGAAGAATCAGGACAGGATCAGCATTGCGAACATCATCTGAGTTTCGCACTAAAAACAAATAACACACTGTCATCTCGGAGGGGACCCGACCAACACTTACGATTACGATAACAGAACGCCGTCTATGTACCTCAGGTCGAAGAACCCTTCCGCATACTGCATTCATCTCGGCCCTTGGGTCTCATGGGTTTACCGTGGAGAATTTTCACCACGAGAACATTACTTGCGGGAGATACAGCTGTGTGTATTGCATGGATGGATGTACGACTACGAGACGAGCCAACAGAATACACGATACCTGGCTCCGAGAATATGTTTCATTTTTGTCCGAGCGACCGGCAGTCTTAATCAGTGCGAATACCTATTTCATACAACATTTTCTTTTGAGGATGAAGGGCGCTTGGGAGGCCGCGAAGGGGTGGGAAAGGATCGGGACAATTGGAGATATCTCTGGTTAAGAAGGTAGACATTGCGCATCTTCTGTTCACGGGCGCTTGTGTGCGGGCTTGGGTTGAGAGCGCGGCTGGTTCTGTTCCTCAGCAAGCGTAATTAGGGGAGAGGGGAGGCGCTCATGTCACACCGAAAGGGGGGGGGTGTTTCCGCTCGATCAGGCGCGGGCGAGGTGGTGGTCTGGCCCGCGACTGTGCATGACAGGGCTTCGATCCGGCAATTTGATGGTTTAATTTCTTCCTCGACTCAACGGCTGGATCTCACGACATTTCTCTCTTCTGACTGACTGCTGCGTGAGTGTTTTGCGGGATGCCCGGGCCTCCCACACCATCACCTGAGGCGAGGAGGACCTGCTCTGGACACAGACATTGGAACTTTGTTGGTACTTGGCGGCGAGGCTAAGGGCGCAAAAGGGGGGTGGTGGGACGGTTCCGGACGAGTGAGGAGGATGAGACACCGACGCGAGGAGCAGGTGCTGATGCGAATACGGACAAGGGGACATGGGGCCACTGTACATGTTCACTATCTGGCTGGCAGGACTCTCGATCTAATTCACAGTCTAGAGCTTCCCGCTCGGGATGTACATAATTGTCCTTGTGTACAATTAGTTGCCGGAAGTTCTATAAGGACGCTGGACCTTACTGTGCGAACTGAAAAGAGACATACATACCCAAACGACCCACACTACCCAAACCACTGCAAACCTTTTTTTGACCACTCCGGACCTTGAAGGCGACGGAGGTGGACTGCTGTGCATCGTGACCTTGGAAGAGGCGGGCATGCCGAGCTATGTCTGGTGCCAATGCAGAGGTTTGGACCTCTCCCCAGTGAGAGCCAACCACCAGCCACCCCGAGAGCCCCGGGATGCCGATGTCTAGAGCCCCGGTCGGGTCGACTTGCTTGTTTCCCCAAGATCGTACACGGCAGTGTCCCATCATCAGACATCGTCACCCATCTCAGGCACGACATCGACATCCCGCAAGCCTTTTGGGGGACGGGGGCATGCCAGTCCCCGTCAGCATGAAAATTCTAATAAGCAAACCAGCCCCTTGTCGCCCACAGCTCCCTAATCTCGGCCGAAGGCACGAGCATCCCAAGTGCTTATCCTCCCAGCCTTCGTTACCACTTCTTCATCTTCCTCAACGGACCTTTCTCCTGTTCTGCCCCGTGCTGCCCGCCCCCACCCCGACCCGTCAGCACTGCTGATCCCCTTCCGGCCGACAGATATAGTACCCGGCCGGTTACCTGCGTTGCCGGCGCTGTTTCGAAAAAGGGTAATCAAGTCAGTTGTTGAGGTCTGTTCTTTTGCTCCGGGTCACACATTTTCTCCCCCTTGGCAATAACACCCGTCCCCTGCCCCACCGTTACACGGCGTGTAACCATGGCCTCCCCAATACGAAGTCTCGGTGAGGCTGACCTAGAACTCACACAAGAGGTTTGACTCGGGAGTTGGGAAAGTGGGAGAGGGGGCCCCCGGCTCGGGGGTCCGTGCAATGGTCAAAGAGGCGGCCCGTCGGTTCGGCACATGTGGTGAGCTACAGGGGTAGGAGGCGAGAGCGAAAGGAGGGAGGGCGGGGGTGACTTCCAACTGCACAGTACCATTGAGAGGGCACGGGTCTTCGGTAGCAGTGATCCGGCCGGCTGTCAGGGGGGTCTTCGTCTCCGGATGCGAGTAATCCGTCGGGTTTGGGGGCCAAGATGTGCTGGTGCAGGGAAGACAGAAATCCTACATAGTCATGTGTTTAGTCCCATGACTTGGCTTGTGACCTAGCACATAAGCCTTTTCGTGTAACAACGGGCCAAAAAGACAATGTAGACCATTTCTAGAAGGGAATGCGTTGCTTGTATTGTTATCTCGCACTACGCGCTGTATCGCACTGTAATTCACTGCAAATCCCGATGTGCCTTTTATGATGACAGTGACCAACTACCCATTTTCCCATTCCAAGGACTTGAAGCCGTGTAGATTTCTAGGCTCGATCTTCCTCAGTCTGTAGACGCCCGTAAACGTGATGGGCAGCTTCTAGCAAACGGCGTGGGTCTTGCCCGTCTTGCCTTGGAGAGAGTGTTTCTCATTCTGTAAGGAAAAGTTAGCTGGTATTCGGGCTTCACATGGCAACACGTTCTCGAAGAGTTTCCGTGACACATGGGAGAGAACGGGGAGAATTGAGCGAGTAGAAGTTGGCCTATGACGATGGTCCCCAAGACGTACCTTGTACTTGGGGTGGTTATGGGTCGCCTTTCCACTGTGAAGGTGGTGCTTGTTGATGAACTCTTGCTGACGCTTCACGCCATCCTTGTCCATCTGCTCAAGAAGTTGCATGCAAAGCTTGACATCCGTGATGAGGGACTCGCATCGACTTCTGGTGAAGTCCTCCCTTACCACGACACGCAGCATCTTGAGGTTCTTGGTCTTCGGGGCCATCGTATACGCCGGCACCACCCAGCTTCGAACACGGAGCTGATGTGCTAGGGCAAACTCGTCATAGGACCTCTCTCCATCCGCATCGGGTGGCAGGCGGAATGCCACCAGTGGAAGACCTTCTCCGGATTTCTCTGACATGATGATGAACCCTAATGCCTGCAGGGAGTCCGAGAGGTAATCTGCGGTCCGCGTCAAGTTCTTCATGATCTGAGTGTAGCCTTTCTTGCCCAGGCGGATCAGTTGGTAGTACTGTCCAATCACTTGCGAAGCTCCCTTGGAGAAGTTCAGAGTGAATGAACTCTGGTCGGCACCGAGGTAGTTGATGTTGAACACCAGCTCCTGGGGAAGATGCTCGGCATCCCGCCATACTACCCATCCCACACCTTTGTCATGTGGTCAGTATATAAGGCGCGTTGAGAGGGCACACGGAGGAGACTGGTGGGCGTACCTGGGTATACAAGCCCGTACTTGTGTCCCGAGACGTTGATCGAGACGACTCTGGGCAAGCGGAAGTCCCACTCAAGATCTGAGAGGGGTTAGTTCGAGATAAGAGGATGTGGAAGATATGGGGCAAAAGTCCGGGCATGGGCATCCACGTACCAGGGTTCACAAAAGGAGCCACGAAGCCACCGCTGGCTGCATCAACATGGATTGGAGTGTCCAGCCCGCGCTCGATTAGCAGGTCGTTGACGGCCTTGACGTCTTCGTACTGGCCTGTGTAAGTGGTTCCGAGGATGCAGCAGATACCGATTGTGTTCTCGTCGACGAGGTCAACGGCCTCTTTGGGGTCGATGACGTAACGCTCCTCGGTGCAGTACACGAGCCTATGCAGTTTGTGTATCAGTGTCTTGTCATTGCTTGATTCTCAGATGGGCCCATGAATCGAGAGAAACCTGCTGGGGAAGAGGTAGAAAAAGAGACGGATATCTTACCGCTCATCTATCTCGAGATATCGAGTAGCCTGAAATATTGTTAGTAAAGTAACACTTATTCTTCCTTTCCTTTTTTTTTATTTCATCCTTTGAATGGTAGAGGTCATTACCTTTTCCCAGCAGACTTGTACCGCTGAATTCATCACGATGTTGGGGTTCTCAGTCGACTTGCCCTCGGCCTTGCGCTTGTTCTTCCAGCGTCTCTTCATGGCCAGAACACCCAGGATGATAGCCTCAGACGAGCCGACGCAGCTGGTGCCAATAGCACCAGAGCCCTCGCCAGTCGGGGAGTGGAAGAGCTTTCCAATCATGTTGACACATCGGCTAAGAAACGAGTCAGCATGAGACCGCAGCAGAAGAATGTCTTCATCAAGCGAAAAGTTGAGCTTTTCGCGTTGAATTGTGCAATGTGTATAGAGGCCTTACTTCTGTATCTCGGCCGTCTTTGGGTATTCCTCGTAATCGATGAAGTTCTTGGAGAGGGCGTCGGCCATGAGCTTCTCGGCCTCGTCCTCCATATAGGTGGTGACAAATGAGGCAAGGCTGTTCGGACATCAATAGTCAGCTCGAGACCACGAATATGACCAAGGAAGGCCTGGTGCCAGCCAAGACGTACTTGAGCATGGGATTTCCATCCAAGGACAGCTCGTCTTTGATCAAGCGGTAAGCAACCTCCTTCGGCATCTCCCCGTCGGGGATCTCGTAACGAGGGAGGTCCTGGGAGGCAAACTTGGAGCCATAGACCGAGGTGGTGAAGTCATCATTCTCGAATGATTCGAGATGGACCTTCTTGAGCTCCTCGGCGAGGTGGTCCTTGACGTCCTCGGGGTTGGGGATGTGGCTAAGGTGAACCATGTTGGGTGGTTGGCAAGGGGAACGAAGCACAGTGGTGTCGATACAGCTTCTTCCTGTCTTGAGCTTCAAAGAGAGGACTCAAGGCTCGTTTTTATACGTGAGATGTGCTTTCGCTGGGAGGCCGCCTTCTGAAGTCTGCAAGGCGAGTCAGCGGCTCGTGTCTCTACGTTGTGCTGGGAGCTTGTGCTCCTAAAGTGGGGGGCCGCTGGACGTGGGTGAGATCGTCACAGGCCACTCAGCTCGTCCAGGCCAGGTTCAAGTCAACAAGCAAATGCAAGTGGGTGGCTTGATCGAGTCAGCGTGGGATCAAACTCACATGAGAGCAATAATTTCCACAAGTTGCTGGCCAAAGAGGATATGGGGACGAGAGGTGGGAGTTGTGGTAATAAGGGGCAACCAGCTCAGCGTAATGAGGGCGTAGAGGGGAAACGCGGGACGACAGGGGAGATAGCTCCAAGCTCAAACAGCTCCCTGTCTCCAACTGACGTAACGCTGGGCGACTAATACGTGTGTCGACAGGGGGAGCTCCCCAATTGGGATAGCAGTCTGCGCCTGTTGTTACGGGCTGGGCCTGTCTGGAGCGAAGGCCTCCCACCGGTTGGTTCATCTCGTCATGCCACACTGAAGCCCATGGCCATTAGCACAAACCCACGTGTGTGCCCAGATTACATGGAAAGGTCATCTAGTCAGCAAGTGGTGTTACTGTCCAATGATCCCGAATGCATGCTGAGTGTGTGCATCTAAATATCAGGTTGTTTGGTTGTGAGACAGGCAGACCATTGATTGAGCTTTGCAGGAGCTGAGCCACGATCGCCAGGGGCTATGCCAGCGCGATCAAACACAACCGTCGTGTGCATCGCTTGCCCCGCGGGAGCGGGACACGGATCGATTCTAGACCCCTTCTGACATGGCTCGGCAAAAGCTTGGTATTTAGTCGAGCAGGGATCCCGCAGATCCAACTTCGCGTCGGACGTGGGGCACATCGGGACTCGGGACCATGAACTACATCATGATAGGCAATCGGCTGCCAATCAACCAGTCACGGCTACAAGTTCACCCTCGCACAAGCTGCATGAAGTCTTTTGGAGGAAGGACCATCGATCTGTTCCCTGTTTCAGACCATTCCCTAGCGCAAACCATAGTCGCCGTTTGTTCCGAGCTGCACTTCGTTCAACGTCTGTCGTCGAGTATTCTACCAGCGAGCAGGCACGACGGTGAGAAGCCACGATCCCTACCTTTACTGTCTGCACATTTTCAAGATGAATATACTCAATATATGGCAAGAGCCAGCTGGCTGATCGACAACAATCAAAACGCTCCTCAACATCGGATTCCTGAGGAGGCCCACATGTCGAGATCAAGAAAGCAAGGCGAAGGCCTGGGAGGCGGTGCTGCCTGACTTCTCTCAACGCAAGAGGCTTTAGTGCCGGTCCCCTCATCGATTCCAATGCTTGCATATACTTTCGACAGTATCGCCCTTTTGGTACACTCTACTTACTACAAAGATACCTACGGTGGGGTAGTCTCCTTTGGGATAACCTCTTGTGACTTAACCTCCTCGAGGGGGGAAGGGGGCATAACCTCTTACATCTTGTCCAATTACATATTTTACTTGGCTCGCCAATCAAACCAGACACAAAGGTACCAGGATCGAGGGGCCTAGGAACGGGCCCCGGAACGGCCCCCTCTATATCCTTAGAAAGTGCACATGATCGGTGCAGCACACCAACGCAAGCATCAACTTTTGTTCAACAACAAAGAGACGAAACTAAAGGGGTTATACTATTTATTTGCAAAAATGGGAATGGTGGAATTCCATGTGGAAAGCTGTAGCATAGGCGTAATGGCAGCTCTGTTACAATAACTCGCTTTCTAAACTTCCCGCTTGGGTTGAGACCTTATCAATCTGCGTGAAAGACCTGCGGACCCAATTTGGATTGGTGACGAACTTGGACTCAGAGGATGTGGATGTCGTGCTGGAGAATAAGACTAGGTCTTTCTCTCGGCTCTGATATGAGCCTTTTATTGCACAATCTATGCCCATTGGGTTTTGGGCTGGGACCTTTGGCTATGGTCCATCTGGACTATCTAAATCCTATCAACATTATCCTCTGACATAACCAAAGGCTCCGCTCTTATTCCCACGTTGTCCATATCGAATAAATGATCTTACTTATCACGAAGATCGATAGTTGAGGTGACAAGGTCGGTGGTGGAGAAACTCTTGGATGTGGTTGGTAATGGCTCGACAGAGAGCGAGGATGCAGAGCCCATCCCAGTCGACATGGCAACTTGCGTTTGACGACAGCATTAGGGATGGTCTGAAGTTGGTGGAATGCAGCAGGGAGCTTATTGTGCGCACCGTCATAAAACCTGAATGAGTAACTGCTGCCCTGTCCACCCTAGGTTCCGAGAAGGATGCGATTGCTAACTGTGACCACTGACCCATAAATGTCGGCCCATCACGATCAGCCAATGCTTAGCCACAGCACCCAAACTAGCTCCCAAAGTCGACCCAAGCTCAAATGTTCTCAAAATGTCCAAGCCGCTTCAGTTACTCCAGCTGCTGCTTCAGGTCGATGACGTCCGAGGAGCCCACCATGTTACGTATGGGCTGGTACTTGATGAAGAGTTCCATGTCTTCAGACTCCGTGACGGGACGACTGGCCCGCATGCCGCTATTGGCGAAGAAAGTGAGGCGGTTCCGAGCGATGTAAACGGCGACCCTCATGTTGTACTCGCCCGTCTTCCAAGTGCCCGTTTTGTCCTCGAAACAGGTGTCAAGAGCTTGTTGACATCGTGCAGACTCGCAATCACATAGTGACCGGTTCCACCGTGATTAACCTTTTTGGGAATCTCCAGAATGTCCCTCATGGGCCCATTTAATATCGAGGTGGATGTCGGCAGGGGTGCTATAAACCTCTTTATACGCGTTCATCGCGGTCTTGTGTGGCGGCCGGGCAACGCTGTCGAGACAAGCCCCATAGAACATGTTCAGCCCTTGTGTGAATTTCGCAGCCATCAACTCCAGAGGCTTACCTGTAGGCAACTATCTCCGATGGATGGGATTCATAGAGGACATCGACAGAGACTCAAGCACCCATCAGGTACATCTGGATTCCCAAGAGATCTTCGTTATGGAGTCCTTGCTTACAGTCGAGAATCAGTATCATACAATCAATTCATTTGCATCAACAGCCGCAGACTTGGCGTAACTTGTAACAGCTGCCAATCGTCAAGGGCTGCCGCCACACTGGTCTGAATGTCATCAACTCGTTATGCAGCACGGAATATCCCACTGGTTGGCGAACTAGTTTCAAAACTGATAACAAGGCTAAAGCTTTTGAAGATAATGTGCAGAAGACTATTGCGGATCTGCACCAGCAACAGCAAATGGCAGTCCAAATAAAAGAGCCAATTTGAGAACCTCACAGAACCACACAGTAATGTCTTCATGGTAAGGTGACCCTCAATTTCGTCTTTCGGATCCATAGTGAGCCTCCATACTAGAGGCGGCCGACCTGGCATATCTTCCCCCAGGCTGTCTGTCCACATCCTCCGATGACGCGTGTACATGACTGACATTGTTCCAGGGCTCACTGACTACCCCCTGTGCCATCCAGCGGGATACTGTGACATGATTTGTTAGCAAAGTGCATCTATATAAAGAGTAGTGAGTTGCATCTGGTTATTTGAGACAATGTCGAGATATATTTTGAAGCGGCACCGAGATGTTGAATACTTTACGGACAACCTGTCTTTATTGTGATTCGATGCAGATTCAGAATTAAAGAAAGGCTCACTGGGATCTATCTTTCCGGTTGACTTGATGCTGCTGAATTTATGCTGGTCTCCCCATGGCCGACTGACCTGCTGCCAGCTTATCTCACTGCTGATTGTTACATCCGTAACTGACATCTGATGAGATGACGAAGCTGTGCGAGATTCTTGAGATGGGTTGGCCGCCTGGTGGCCTTGTGCGCCGGAGTGCGAATGAGTGTTTCCAGCCGAAGACATGTCGGCTGTGAATGAACTTCCAGATAGAGGTAAGAATTTTCGAACTGCACAATAATGGATATTGTGAGCTTGCTGCTGTTCATTGTGATGGACCCAGCACTATCTACAGAGCTTGCAGCTTTATATAGGTAAAAGATTACGAATCGGCGATCAATCGCTGTCAGCCAATTCGAAATGAAAAGCAAGACGAGGCAACTCCATTCCCTTCTAGCAACTGCTTCACCTGCTTTCAGCATCACCCCAGGCTCTCCTTGATGATAATATTGGCCCATGACGGATTATCTAAGGACCGGCCTATCAAGAGCCCATGCAATGCGGCCACTCCTATATTTGCGAAGGGCTGTCTGCGATCTGCAAGCTCATGCGATGAAGGACGAATATGGCCCATTTGAGGACATAGTCCTCTGGAACACAATTCTGGCCCATTTGCTATTTTTGGCTCACAAAGGCGACGAGAATCATTCACTATATGAGAAATATAGGTCAACCAGCCTCGTGTGCTCTTTGCAGGTTGCTCTTGGGCGACAGATTGGCTGGACAGAACAATAGCCATGCTGTGTGGCGAACTACGCGACAAACGTATGGAATTGGCCCTCAATGTTGTCATACGGGACTATTGGCACATTGAATTGGCCAAGTCGTAAAGGGACCAAAAGGAGCACCTTGTGACGCAATAAGCACAGTCAGGTACACCACCACACATGCAGCCACAAATGGCCCAGAACTGGCGCAGGGAATGGCTCCTCCGTCTCTCGAGTAACACAAGTGACATAAGCGTGTCCGAACGCATGTACTGGTCACCGAAAACGGCCCATTCAGAGCGATGGTCAGCTTTTAAACCTCACATCTCGGGGCGTGGCCTCTTCTGTTCTCCCTTTCTTCTTGTTTCCCAGTCTTCACGCTCTGACTTGAAGTCTGTTACTCACGCTTTACTTCTGCCATCTATCCACGCGCATATAGCTGTGAACCCTCGCCTCATCTCCCTACATAGGTGATGACTTACATACATCAATTTGCACTTTATTAAGAGGTAAGTCAGACTTGATACCTGAAAGACTTAATGCAGTGGTCGTCTTTTAACTTTTCTACCGCTAGAGCTTGGTGGCGCCTCATGCTACTGTACATCGTTCTCACCCTACACATTATTTAAGTAGTGATTGAGAATTTTCCGGGGACTATTGGAGTCCCGCTGGTGCCATTCAACCATGTGGTCACTCTTGTGGTATTTACCATCAGGGTGTGGATACGGATGATTTCCTCGGCTTCAACACCGACGCTTCATCCGGATTCGATCTTTCGCTGCGCCTTTTTGATAACCATTGCAATTACACAGAGGGTCTTTCGTTTGACACACTTGATTCAGCGGTGCAAGATGGCCCGGAAAATCTACAACAAGGAGGCTACTGGGGGCTATACGAACACGTTGACCGTTTCACTGGCCTTGCCTTGCAGGATTCTCTTTGCATGGGATTGCCTGACCCACCGCAAGACCTCGCACTCGATTCGAAGACACAGATTTATGGCGAGGCTTATGAGGCTTCATCTCCCCAATGGTCTTTGAATCAGATGTCTACGCTCATTGACTCTCCAATTCAGCATCTGAGCAACCCTCAGAGTCCTCGCTCCTTTTCGGATTCCCCAATCCACAACACGCCAGCCGGCTCCAGTGACTCGACCATACAGAGCTCGACTCCCTCAGAAGACAACAACTTGATCACCCCTGAGTTCAAGTCTTGTCGCCAGTGCCATTATAGAGGTTCAGCGCGGGCAATGACGTACGTAAGATACCTGGGTTGGCTGGAGGAGCTTCAAAACTGATAATCCCGACAGGGCACATCTCAAGAAAAGTCACCATGACCAACTATCTTCTTATGCTGGTATTCCATGCGCCAAGCCAGATGAGCCCGGCTGCAAACAATTTTTCAAGGACGAAAGAAGTCGGACACGCCACAGAAAACAGTCTTGCAAAGCTCTCCCGCAGCAAGTCTTCCAATGCTGCTGCGGCAAAAGAGTAAGGCGGTGGGCAAATTTCGTCAAGAGCCACCAGGGTTGTGTTCCTGGAGCTAATGGTCTCTACAATTGTAATTGCAAGTTACAGTTTGCAGAGTTCAAGGGATTAGTAGAACACTACCATGGGAAACACATGGGCAAGAAGGGGAGACCACAGGCAGGTGGCCAAAAGGTGATGAGCTGACGGATCAACGGGCGGGATTCAAAGCATGTTCCACCATACTTGGCCGCATACCTACCTGGGTCAATATTTTAGAAGTTGGCTACTTTCATACATTTCGATTAGACCCCCATTGATCTTGGCAAGTGATATATTGTACAAGGCAAGATCATTATGTGCAGGGTTTGGAGGCCACATATGTGGCAACGCTATATATTTCGGCCTATCCGTTTCGATTGGATGACGACCCTGTCTCCTAGAGCGTCGATGGCTTCAAGACTATCACAAACCATACTCGCTTACTTTGGCGCTTGTCCAAATACAGGCCTGATCCAGTATCTGTCAAACAACTTGCGACCGTTTCTATACCGGAGTCCTTGAATCTTCTTGCCTAGCCAGACTAGTGACCGCCCGTTGACAAGACCAGACCACACTCAACACCACACTCCGCAGTAGGGGCGTGTGTCCAGCCAATTCGCAGTTCTTGTTGACACCACGAAGTCGGAGCAACACATGCATGGATGCTCATGATGCGACTGTCGCATCGTATGACTGCGTCCGATTCGAACCAGTCGCCCACTCTATGCCCGGCACTTGACCAATTTCCAAATTCAGCAATCGCACCGCTCCGTTCGGGGCGCCTCCATGTTCGCCGATAGTCTCTCGCCAAGAGACCTTCGTGACAAGGAATTGCCCCCAGAGCCTCCTACCTCTGGTGACATGTCTCCTAGCGGTGAGTTGCCATCGCAGCAGCGTCTAGTAAACCTAAACGTGCATGCCAGTTGCATATGGCACATGCCCCATGCCACCGCCTCCACAAACAACCTCCTCTGTATAAGGATTAAGGTTCCTGTCGGGCGGGTGTACCCGTGTGAACGGTGTGGCGACCCACCACTGCCGGTGATGACTGGCAGGGCCGGCCTGCATCGACTCGACATAGCTGATGCGACGGTGGAAAGGCAAGCACATACTCCTGGAGGAGACCATGTGAGCAGCGCCTCCTGCAGGAATGGGCTCTAGCAACGATAAAAGCCCGAACGACTATCCAACCAGCCGATGCGGTGAGAAAATCGACCGCCGAGGATCCGGGCGGCCGCACGCGTTAGCCTCGAACTCTAAACATCGCAACATAGGCGTCCATCCACCACTTGGCCCTGCCCTGCCTGCATTGCATAGTCTACGCACTCCGTCCAGACCACCCGCAGCAAGATATGTAGCATATGTAGCAGTACAAACACGCAGTCCCAGCCATTCACAGCCAGCCCATTACCAAGGCAGCAAATCCCGAAGCCCACCCAGACTTTCCACCTCGGCAACGGGCGAGGCCCTCCAGATGTCGGGGCCACTGGGCGGCCTGCCTCGCCTCGCCTTGCCTCCACCACCCCTGCCCTTGCCCTCCCCCCCTCCATTTCTATAACAGAACGGTGAATGATCAGGCCAATCGGGGTCCCTCTGCCACACAAAAGAGAAAAGACGGGATGAAATGAGGCCCACATCCCGCCGAGGAACCGACCAGCGGCCAATCAGCAAGCCGCTCCTCACACACGCCCGCAGGCACGGCAGATGACCTCAAACAGCGTTGCCTCGTCGCAGCAAAACACACAGGGCCAGCTGACATACATTCGCATCGGACTTCGGGGACCAAACCATCGCCGATGGGGCGTCGCCGGCTAGCAGGCCACTCACGGGTCGTTCGGAGAGGGGGCAGCGGTGTCCGCGGAGCTTTTGAGGGCCTTGATACTCAGAAGTTTGGCTCGCCTCCTGCTCACGTGAGGTTGTTCATACCTCGAGCCTCTTGTTACTCCGCAAGCCACCCGACATTTCCGCGCTTCGATTACCAGTAGGGTACATTGCATACTAGACCGGGAATAACGACATTGATGCGAACACATAGTCCTAGGTACTCGGATCACTCAGCACTGACGGCACCTGTCATTGTCCGCGGTTTCCAAGGTTACCGTTAACCCGACCTTTCAGCACCAAGACATGCTAGCAACTCGGAGGACAAAGCTTTATGACGTACGCAACAGGCAGTAAATAATATGTCCGTGTTTGAAATCAACCCTAGAAAGTATATAGTCCCACAATAGGAGCAAATGCAACATGATGCCTTCGCGGCCCAATGCTCAGAACGCCCATGCCATGCTCCAATCCGGTGCAACACTCCAAAATATTGTCTGCGCGCCTTGGTAATCCCCCATGCATGCCCCCCTAACAAATACCATCCCAGTCGTCAGCCCATTCCCATCCTCCAAAATCGTAGGGTATAATGGTATACATTTGATCAAGTCATCGTTCGGTATCAATACTGGTATCCCACACGTCTCATTTCGTCGTTTGTTGATGAAAACAGCCAGCCGTATTATCACACATTTTTGTTGGTGTCATTCATGTCTCGTCCCATCGAGCTCCCGACACAGAAGCAGATCCCGCTAACTCTGGTTCGCAGTCGCAGTGATCGTTGATGGTGAGCTTCCTGACCTGTCGGAAGAGCGTTGCACAGCTCGCGTCCTGATACGGAACCTATCCCTTAGTCGGTTGGTCAGTCCAGACCGGTCACGACCTTCTTCCTCGTTGCTCGCGGCTGATCCTGAACGTTGCTCTGTCCGGTACCGTCGAAGGACCTCGATACGTTCCTCGACAGTAGCGTGCCGAAGTCGGTGCAGATCAAAGAGCCTAGACCGACGTCGGGAAGAGTTCGAGGATTCTGTTGTGTCGTTCACATCCGCGCCTAGTGGCGGAGCCTCACTGTTCTCGTTGTGTTCATCAGTACCGCCTTCGGCTTGCTCCGGGCGTAGGTCAAGCCGACTGCAAGCGCAAGAGTCAGTAATCATTATCGAAACACGGGGGGTTGGGTTTAGCTTACCAGAGCGGGCAGGTGCCCGATACATTAACCAGCCAAGGGTCGACACATGGTGGGTGGAATTTGTGGTTGCAGGGAAGCACGCGGACGTCTTCCCCAACAGTAAAGTCCTCGGTACAAATTGAGCAACCCAGTCCTTCATCATTCTGGGTGCCACCACCTGTGTTGTCTGTGCCGCGATGAGCAACGCTGCTAGTCCCTGCAGCGTCTGCCTCGGAGTCTGACCCTGGCCCAAGAGCGCCTGAGGCGGCTGGCGGGACAGGAGAAGCAAGAGGGCTCTCAGGAATAGTAGACAGATGGCGATTTGAGCCGTTCTCCGGTGACTGACGATCCGCAATGTTCCCATTTGTCTGCTGCGACGCGGCATTTTCGAGCTCAAGATTGGGATCAGGTTTTGGTTGAGAGTCTCCGAACTTGACAATGGGCAGGGTCTCGAGCACAGCGCGAGCCAGCCCCTTCGCACGACTCTGCCTTGGCCTCCCACCAAACCCGTTGCGGGGGCCGTATCTCTCAGGATACCTATGCGCTCGTATGGCGCCAGTAGCGATGATGATGAGGAACAAAAGTGTGATGAGTCCGGTGATGCTGTATAGGATGCTCATAGCAACAGCCGAGTTGTTTCCGCCCTGCTGGCCAGCGCTGTCGTTCTGGGCAGTATCGGTGAAGTTGCCAGAGATCTGGGCTCGTGCATTTCCTTCCGACATGTTGGCCATGACCAAAGTCTGAGAAGCAGCTTGTTCATCCGACATGGTCAAGATGGCGTTGAAATTGAGGTTCTGGCCAGTCAGCCCGCAGCACATGCCTTGTTGGCTGTACAGGAGGATAGCCGCTGGCTGTGGGTTATTGCTCATGAGGGCGTTCAGAACGGCGTTTGGATCCAGGAACGAGTTGTTGGTCTGGTCACAAGAGAGGTACGGGATAACATCCGAACCACTGATGCTGGCGTAGTTGCTCGCATCGGCGGCAACCATCTTCCCCTCAATGTTGACTCGCTGAATGGAATGTTAGTGACATTTCAGATTTGACGGGGCATGTCAAAAAAGGTCTCGCTTACCCCTCGAACAAGCTGCGACTCATTCAGGCCGAGGTTGGTTGTCAATGGTATGACAGTGTAAGACAGCGGAACGGGATCTCCCTCCGACGCTGATATCAACAATTGCATCTCAGACTTCCGCTGCCAGTCGAGAACCTCGGTCATCGTGTACGTGCCAGCCATGTCGGATATCGCGCATTGAACGTTGACGACGGCCAATAGTACTGCAAAGACCCAGTGTCGGCCCATCCTGACCGGCAGTGAGACCGACGGCTTTTCCGTGGCCCCAATCAACGAAGTGGCGATTTGACGACGGCGCTGGCGAACAGCACAACAGCTCAGGGGGCTGCTCGCGCGACGGGCGCTCTGGTCAATGCCAGTACTGGACCAATTATTTTCTCTGTCTGTGAAGACGTCGTCACATAGCGGTCTCGTAAAGGTGAAGACGTCGTTTCTCTGCAGCTTGGATATATAGCTGGCGTCTGAAAGAGGGCGGCGGATTGGGTATATTTCACACAGGCGAGGCGTGGGGCCAGACCGGCTGCCTTGACATGAGGTGAGATGATGGCAGTGAAGAGAACAAGGCGGCAGAAGAGTCCCAAGAAGAGGAGGGCGCGACTCGGCGTTCTTAGTGCTGGGCGTTCTGGGTCAATGACAAGAGGCTAACACGGTGCCAAGATGCCTTGGGTTCTGGACTGAGAGCCAAATATCTGGGGACGAGGAGCAGCGTGTCGGCGATGTGGGCCTGGGCACACGGCAGACAAGAGAAATGGGCGGAATTAGACGCAGAGAGTGCTCGCGGACTCGCGGGCAGCTTATCTGACTGAGACTGTGTGTGGTCACACGAGAGGCGAGCAAGTTCGGTTCCGGCGGCGATTCCTCTTGTCAGTGTCTCTCAGCCTTCGGCTTGCGCGGACGTTGGGTAAGGTGAGCGAACGAGCGAGCGAGCCAACAATGGAGTTGACGGGTTGGATGTCGAGGGATGAGCCGAGCCACAGGGTAAAGTTGAGACAAGACAGTCTATAGGTGATAGGAGAGCTCGGCATCAGAGAAGGTGGCTTGGCCTGACCCGACTTTTCCGGAAGTCGGAGTGAGTATGCAGCAAGCAGCCCATGCCCAGGATGGACCGGAAGGTATGGATGGTATAGGGCTCGTTATGGCAGGGGTTTCCCAAAGAAGGACAGCAATTCGCAAGCGGCAAGAGGGAGACAAGACAGCAGTGAGGTGATGGAGGCAGAGGCAAGAGGCAGAGGCAGAACGAAGCGCCGTCGCCGCAATTGCTAACATTAACAGTACCGACCGTTGTTGCTGCTGCATTAAGGCGCTGGTTCGTTTGGTGGTTTGTGGCAGGTCTGAGACGCCGTCGACGTTTTAGCGCGGTGGCTTCGTCAAAGCAAGCAGGCACATGCCCTGATCAGTCGCACTTGCGGTAGCAGCAGGCGGTAGCAGTAGAAAGCAGTAACAGCAGTAACAGCAGTAGCAGTTCCGCAGTCGCAGTGGCCCATCAGCAAACCTAGCAGTCTAGCAGAGGCACCGCACCAGGTACAGATTGAGTTGGGGGGCTTCCTCTCGTCCCCAGTCGCCAAGGCCCGATGAGTGATGACGCCTTCCCCCAAATAGCGCCCCTGCCCGCCTGCCCGCGCGGCTTTTCCAGGCTTGGCAACTACTCCCTCCAGTCCCTCCCTTATTCATCCAGAGAACCACATCGCCAAGAGTCCGTCCCATTGGGCGGGCGCTCCGTTAGTTAGAGACATTCGACTTGGGGCTCAAGCATCTCAGGCAGGCAGTTAGAAAGACAGCAGACAGTCAGATGGTCACTCAGTCAGTCAGTCAATTTTGGGAAATCGGAAACGAGGGTTAGGACAAGACACGTCCTTTTTTTTTTCGTCCCGAGATCCAGGAATGCTTAGTCGCTGGCTGATCTCAGAGCTCTGCTGTAACGTGTATGTATCAAGTCTGATTGTTTATTTATTTATTCGAAATCGGATGGACAAGAGCCTCTGCCCACTCGACCAGACAGCAGCCCTACCGCATTTTCCTAAGATTTGTCTCGGGGTCTAGCCATGTGTGCCCCTGAACGAACCGGGCCCCAACCGATCCCCAAACCAGTCAGTGCCCTCAGGTCGAGCGCAACATCAGGGGAGACGTGCACCAGCCGGCCTGAATTGATTATGTGCAGTGCTCTGCCTTGCCATGCCGAATAGTTCGCATGAACTGAGGTGCATCTCCAGGGTTGTCCTGCCGGGTCGGTTAGTGTCGATGAGGCTCAAAATCCCACGGCATTGCCCTGCATGGGATCCCCCATGTAGCAGATTTTGAGCCTCACACAGCATCGGTTTGAGGTTGGAGGGGGGGCCTGCCGGGACAGACCGCTCCCACGCTGCCCCATCTTACCATCCACTGCCATCTTGCCATCTCGGACAGGAACACCGGGTCCCAGCGCCCTGTGTGTAGGAGATTAAGACTGATCAACAGCAGGCGCTGTTCAGCCTGAAGGCTTTGCCGCCCCAGTAGAGCCAGTAGGGCCAATGATTCGAGGGACATTGGGGGCCACCTCCGCCAAGCCCTGTTTAATCCCCGTCTTTTCTCCTCCAAACTTCCCTATTCTCCTACGCGATCCGATCATGATCCAACCGCCCGTGGATAGTGCTGTTTCTAGACCTTGCGCAAAGGGCTGACGGCATAAATCAGACCTGGGGAAGATGAATCGTAGCCCAGCGCAGCCCTGTGGCGATCATCCCGTCGCAACAACAGCGCTTATGGTTTTTGTGAACACGGTCAAGACAGGACGTTGAGCGCCATGGCTGCGGATTGATCCGAACGCTGCGCAAGCTATGGGAAAGCCTAGCCGTGATGGCCTCTGTGCCCTTTGAAAGAAGATGAGGTGAAACCTCGCCAAAGGTCTTGCAAGCAGGATTCGGACGTTTGGTAGCACGGAAGGCCACGGGTTCCGCGATCCACGAGGCCTCTAGAGGAAACGACTCCGAGGGCAAGCATATCTCGGCTAGGCGAGAAGCCGGGCTATTTATGACGAGTTGGGACGAAGCGGCCACTTCCAGACTCTCAAGAGCTGGAGCATCACGAACAATCAAGCAAGCCCGGTGTTGTTCATGGTCCTTCGCGTTGTCGCACACCAGCCCAGGTCCAAACACCGCCTCAAATTTCCTCCATATCGCCCAGATCATCCATCGCAGGATAGTCGCCAGTCTCCACCCTCTCGGGCCTAACAAACACACCGTGCTTCAAGCCCGAAGGCTCGCCCCAGTACCTGGCGCCGTTGACACTGCCGTCGTTCTTGCCGACGGGCTCATCAAGCTGGACGCCTACCCACGCGCCTGAGCCATTGGGAATCTCCTTCACGTCGCCAACATACATGACTGTGCCCCTTCGTGTGTCGTCGCCTCCAACGCGGCATCGCTTCCCGACCTCGATGTCCCGACTGCGCACCTCCTCGGCGAATGCAGCAATCTTGGCTTGCTCCTTGCTGGGGGCGTCGGGATCAAATCGACCCAACTTCTCGGCTTTCTTCCAAGCGAGCACAGAATCAGTTTTCTTGGCGTATTCTTCCTCTGGCATGACATACTTCTCCACGCCGCTAGCATCTGTGTAGTTTGGCCTGGCCCCAGGAGGTCGTGTGTCGATAACCTGTGTCGCTGTCAGCGACATTCTTTTTTATGGTTGAAGCTTGGTCTCCATTTTCAAGGTTCCTATCTAGCATCTGCAACATATGTGGGATCACAGTGGATTTCACAATGGCGTCAAGAGGAACGGCGCAAGGGCATTCCGAAGTGGTACGAATCATGAGCCCTCGATAATGCGAAGAGCTCGAGCGACATCTCTTCGAGAACCAAGTCGCTTGTCCATACGGTTCCCACTTGGGAAAAAACATTCCCTTGCTCAAGGCCTTGGGCGCCTGCGATTCATGTCGAGGAATTTGATTCCGTGCTGAGGGAAACAACCAGCATGTCGCAGACAGAGAGGGGTAGCCCACAAACTTCAGAGAAACACTCACTTGTAGTTCAGCATACGCAGTCAAGCGGAATGCGCTGAGATCTGTTGAGTCCTCATCGCTGGCCTCGATGGGTATGCTACCCTCGGCCGCAGTCTTGAGGAGAATCCTTTGGGCCGAAGGAGGTATTCCCGTGATTGTCTCCAGCTTTGCCTTGAGTGTACTGATCGACCATGACGGGGTGATGCGGCGCTCTGATGACGAGTTCTCGGAGACCACAACAAGTGGTACGTCCGCCATGATGTCCTTGTCAGAATCGACAACCCCAAGAAACCACCCACGGTTGAGTGATGCTCCAAAGCTCGCAGTTTCGTCCGCCAAATGTTCCCAATCTCTCCACAGATGAGTAAATAATGTACTGGGGAACTCTTGTAGATGTCAGCACTTCTTCAATGGCTGTTGTGTCACTGACTCTAGTGTATTGCCTTGGGAAGATGAGGTTATCGAGACTGTGTTCAGCCTCAGCCTGGGCAGGAGCAGTCTGTTGGCCCGTGCATACACTTATCTTATCAGCGATTTACTCCTTCTTCCCCAGTCCCTTGCCTGCCCGCCTGCCTGCCGGCCTGGGATCTCTGCACGTTGAGTTCCATGCTTTGACACTGACTGACAACCAACTTGACTGACTTGACTTGTCTTGTCTTTGCCACGATCTTCGCAGGGTCGCATCCGAACCCTTCCATATTTATGCGTTCCACCCCCTCTGTCCCTGCTGTGCTCGGCTTCCCAACCTGTTAGCTCGAGATTCAATCCGCGATGCAATACTACCACAGTACGCACAGCACCTCGTACTATGACAGCACATGTTCACACAGTACCCATCTGATCTGCACGAGACAACGCCTCCCTCCAGCCCTAAAACACGTTTGGACCACATTGCGAGGGCGGTGACGCAGGGATTCAAGCTCCTCGGAGTGACCGGCGTCCGCAAAGGAGCAGGTGACGGCCCCGTGTGGTCGGCAGGTAGTCAAAGAAGAGATGGGACCATCATTTGAAACCCGTCAAGTCGACCACCTTGACTTGATTTGCTCGGCCACCACGTCCACATTCAGGCGAGTGCTGGCCGTCTGCAGCTAGCAAAATCAACCGCCACCGATGACAATACCCTTCACGTCGAGTTGCAAGTCTCGAGGCCGTTTGCAGACCCTGGATCTGAGCCCTTGCTGCATCGTGGCGACACGACGTTGACGACTGCTGCAGTCGGATGCAAAATCGAATGCTGTCACACCCGAGATTTCGCGTGTTTCTGTCTCTGGCCACCGGAGTATCCCCTCGTCCTCTTACTTGGGACTTCATTGGCCGTCCGCGCCCTGGACAAACAAATTGAGCTGCTGTCTGATCTGGCTTGCTGCACCTCACCTCGGCACCGTTGTGCGGTGCCTCCGAGAAGCAATCCATAGTCCCACCAGCCGCGGCAGACTGCAGTCTCACATGGGCATCCCCATGCTCGCCGTCCATCGATGCCATTGTCAGCCGAAACAAACGGAAACAGAACACACACCCCCAAGGTTCGCTGCATGACAGGCCTGGCCTATTGACATGACTAGTCCGTGTGCAGTAGTAAGCTGCACAGTTACTTGTTGCAGATTGTTCAGCTGGCCATTGGCTGGTTTCGGATGCGCGCCCAGACAGGTTCATCTCGCATCTTCGCATCTCCTCCGGCTCGCAATCAATTTCCGAAACTGTACCGGTTCGTCTGGGTACCACATCGTCAAGATCTCCGCGATCTAATGAACCTAACGCCTTGTCGTGCCGTCCCATCTCGTCGCGGCGGTCCAGTCAAAACACGTTCGTGTGGACGAGGACAGGCTCACAACTTATTCTCCCGGTGTGCGGCATATTGGTCACGTTGGCTTCAGTGACGCAGCCGGCTCAAGTAGCTTAACTCAAGTACTCTCGGCGCTGCGTGCTGCAAAGTAGCCCACCGGTTCCAATTGGCGTCCTCAGGTCATGGATTTGCGTCATCCTTGCTACCTTAGAGCCCGTCTTGCCTATGCATCACTCACCGCCTGGCTGGGTTCTTGCACGAAGATTGCCAACAAAGCCTCTTTGATGCGACATTTCCCAAAGTACGAGGCCGAACTGGGCCGTAACGCGTGGTGACGGCGCCCCGTCTAGAGATCGCTCAGGACCACGGCGGGGGGTGTCTGTCTAGCACGAGACCCAATGCAATGGTCACACTAGCTCGAGGTCTTGCCTGCGTACCTTCATCCAGCTTCACAAAACGTCCGGCCCCGGTGACCACAGCGTTGAAAGCTTGCGGCTCGGAGTTGGCATTGTAAGTATGGCTGAACAATATTTCGTGGCGACGGAGAGCTATTGAGAAGTATCGGGTCTAGCTGTGCCTCGAACGTCAGCTTGGAGACAAGCCCACCACATTGAGCGTCCCGACGGTGGCGAGATGCGGCGATAGAATGCCCAGCAGATGCACCTTACGATCCATCAGCGATCCAACGAACCAGCCTAAGCCCTGGCCTCATGCAAGGCCAACAAACCGTTCTATTGACCTGCATTGCCTTGCTCCACTGCAGTAATCCCATGGGGCTACATTCTGCCTGACCCCAAGCTAACTTGCCATCCATTCTGAGATCTTGTCCAATCACTCAAAGGAGGCTACTGAGAAAGCCAGGTTTCTGGGCGCCTATTTGGTGCGGCTGCCCTACATACGGTACCAAGGATGCCGGCACCAAAACGTTCACACACATGAGGATTTCCTCACTTGACTTGCGCGTCTCTTCGGACAGGTCTCACCCTAGCTCCTCCAACGGTCTTCGTATGTCAGCAGACAAACAGACACATCGTGTCTAAAGGTTTATCGATGGTCAGCTTCCCCATACGTAGTCCCAGTCGCAGGGATTTTACTTTCTCCGGCCCGCCATCAGACTGTCGATCTTGCGAATGTCGCGCAACGTTCACAATCCCTTGTGGCACTAGAACAAACGACCCGAGACACAGACCGCGCTTTGTACTATTGTGGCTCGGGCAGCAACAGCTACGACGGCCTGGGCACACCTCTGCGCCGCATCCCTGGTCCCTACCATGCATCGCGTAGTATCGACTGTCATCTCGCAGATGCGGCATCGTGCGTCCAAGGCTTGATGGCGCCTGGACAGCCCAATCGCTTTTTTACTTGTCCTTAGAGCTTCTGTCGTCACCTTTACTGTACTGTGAATGTTGCGCAAGACCACCTTCTGGCCAGGGTCAAACCTTGTCATTGCTCCCACACGCAATGTGGATATACGTCCTGCGGCATATCATAAAACCCAATCTTGCCTACGACAGGTCCGGGAGGGGATCCAGGCGTGGAAATCAAGCCCGCCTTACTCGTTGTCAGACACGAGGCAGAAAACCCGGCAACGCAAAGTCGCAAAGTACTCAATCGGTGGATCGGTGCCCAAATCAGGACACGCCAATGCTCGCGAAGTATGCGAAGGCCAAGCCCCCAGTCCTTCGGAGCAAGTCGTGGTATGTGCAAGCCACCAGCTATTATCGCGTCAAACGCATCTGGTACCGAATCGTTCCGTGGGGCAAGGGATATCATAGATGCTGGTGATCACGGCTCATGGACAGGGTCTGTACCGTGACAGAAGCCAATTCAGAAAAGCAGACCACGGGGTGGTGTCAACTTGTTGCGTATGCGAAAGACGTTGAACAATGAACCATGACGACTCCACGCTCGCTGATTAGAGGTCGATTATTTCTTCTGCATCTGATCCCGATGGGTATCCAAGCGAACTGATTCAGTAGGGGAGGGGGCCGGTTGGGAGATGCAGAGCTGACCGCCAGTTCATCACTTCAACGCAGGTGGGAGCTAAGGCTCGGCGTCCCAGGGAATGTCCCAGAGGCAAATGTGCAGCTGTTTGGGCATCGTGCTTACGGCAAACTGAAGTGTTGGCACAGGCTGCTGCAGCCTGCCACCACACAATGCGCTGAGCCCTGGAAAATCCGACGACAAATGCGAGTTTCCCACACCGTGGGCCTGCAACAATGACCTTGTCGACACCGATAACCTTCCCGGTCCGGACCCCACATCCATTTCCGAGACGTCTAGACAAGCCTCCTCCAATCCGTACCGAGTATAGACTGATAAATAGATGGATAATCGAAATGTCGAGCCCGGAGGAACTGGTCCAGGGGCTTTTATTGCGCACAGACTTAGGTCTCTGACGTCCCGACTCCAACGGTGACCTTCGGGCCATTGGCCGAAACTGCGACACTATCCAGCGGATGCAAAGGTTTCCAGGCCCCACCAACATTCCGCTGGTGTCCGAGCTGGGAGGGGTTGGGGGAACAATGGGACGGAACGCGCGCAGCACCAACTCGTCCATACTGGAGATGGATTGGGCTTCACGCGCGCTGTCAGCAGCGCCGACGGTGGCCGCGCGAACCCACCACAACAGACCTTCAAGACATGCAGTCCGTGGCCCAGCGCCCCGGGACCTAGTTGCAGCCCTGGCGTCCATGGCCACGACCCTTTGCTGCTAACCAGGCTGGGGCGTAGTGACGAAGAGCTTGGTCTGTTATACACGTCAAGAAGTCGTCCAACCAAGCAGCCGTGGCGCACGCGAAACTCTGACGCCGCCTTGTTCAGGCTTCTCGGACTTGGGCCACAAGTCGACCGTACAATGACTCCAGCTCTAACGTGACACCTCAACCACTGACGGCGTTGCCACAGTATACCTACTCACTGCCCTGACTTGACAGTGAAACTGTTTGCAATGCCCGCCAGGCGTCCGGGACTCGTGGAGTCAATGCAGATCCCTAGATGGTTAAGCGCAATCTTCACTGGTCATGTCCACAAGCCAAACACAACGGTTGAACCAGCTTGATTCAGTCTCCAGTAACCAAGTCCCAAATGCTCCAGAGCCTCATTTCCGCCCTGACATCGACTTCTGGAAAGTGTCAAAGGCATGGCCGACGAGCGCATGTATCGACTGAAGACGAGGCGTAGGATTTTGCCGGAACTCACCAACCATCTCGCAGACCTTTGGATGGAATGGTTTCACCGCTCTGCGCCCGCGCTTATGCCACAACCTCGACGAGCAGCCACTCGCAACGCAATCCATACTAATTAATCCGTGGCCTTGTCAACCTTATCCACACAGCCATCAGTCAAGGGATTTCTTCTGCCCCCCCTCCCACTCCCCTCAAATTGACGGTGCGTGGACATCGCCTGCTGCACACACTGACACGACGACCACCTTGCCGCAATTCACTGACCTCAACAAGGCACCTTACTCAGTCCCCGGGCTCCCTGAAGCTCCGATTCAGACCCAAGCTCCAAGTGCTTCCGAGAGAACCATGCCTAGAGCAGCCATCCCGGCAAATGGAACTATAATTGCCGGGTCGGCGAACTGGCTACAGCCGTCGCTCCCTGGGATGGATTCATCTCATCACCTGCTCCGGTTTGTCCGCTCCCAGCATCTCACCTACAGTAGGGCGCCGTCTGGTCTAGGGCCGGCCCCCGTTACGGAAAGCCGCGAGCGCTGTCCTTGGGCCCAATGGGCTGGCATGATGCTGGACCATGCTCGCCATTAGGCCACAGCAAGCAATGGCCATTAAGGCGATGGACCGAAGGGGAGCATCCATCAGGTCGCAACCAGGGGTGTAAATGGAATAGCCGACTGCCCAGCGACCTCATGCATGAATTCGTGGCCATGTCAGCAGCCCCTAGTCGTAGCTCACACACCAACAAACCCCTTCTCGGGTCTGCATTCGAGAAGTCGTCCCAGGGTATTCCTCGTGGTTGCCCACAGCCCGGTGGAGTGTAAGCGCACGTCCGGGGGGCGCCCCTACAGACCTCGACCTAGCTACCCTATTCCTTCCTGACGATTTTGCTTTTTCTGGCTTTGTTTCGAGTAATGTGCAGCAGCCACCTGCCCACTCCTAGCCCCTATGGTTCATCCAGCTAAAGACGGCGCCGCAACCCTGGTGGTGATCATCACACTTCTTACTGCCGACTTTGACACTGCAACCTTCAGCGGGTCGTGACCTTTCCCAGATCAACCCTATATCTGAAAAATGCTCGCCCTGATATAGGCGCCGGGCATGCTAGAACCCAGACCTGGATCTCCCAAACCCCGTCACAAGTCACTCATACCCGACATGATATCAGCAATCCACTTGGGCTGGTTTCTCCCTCGACTTCAGATTCTGGACACACCCCTTCGCTTTGAATACCCCCTCCCTGGTCTCTGCCTCGCCTTGTGCTTGGCCTAGCTAGTGTTCTTTCTCATCCTCTGCGTCTACCTGACTGTACTTCTCGTTGGTCCTTGACTGAGGCATCTCGCCTCATGGCACTTTCAGAATCAGACTTCTACCTTCTGGATCCCAGTTAAGCCCCCACAGGTGACTCCACATCCTAGATCACTTGCTTTCCTTTGAACCTTCTTATTTCCTTGCTCTCCTTCTTCCTATCATTTGCCTGCAGGCGCATCTTCCCGCAGCTAGCCCAGCTCCAACCCTGTCGAGCTCGCCTCCATCCCACACTACATGACCTTTGGAGGACAACGACCACGCTGGCGGCTTTCTCTCCTGCGGTGAAAGGAAAACTTTGACAAACTGGGCTGACTGACGTATTCACCCGTGTCTGGGGCTGCGGACTTGCGTGCTGGGAACTCTAGACGGGACCCGTGGAAGTGGGATCTTGTCCCCTTCTTCTGCCTTGTCAGGAGCTGCGGTAGCGCCAATCATGTTCATATCTTTTACTTCCCGAGACGCGACCCACGCCTTATAACTCTAAAGAGCTCGTCTGAGCCACCTGGAAAGCCACCTCGACTTTCCGTGTCAAGCTTGTCTTGTCCAAATCCGTCCACTCTGCATCCTGTACGCCTTTAGCCTCCCTCGCGTGGCGTCCAAGGTCCGGTCCATCATTTTGCTTTTCTGTCACAACATACCTTATCAGTTCATTCCCAATAATCACCCAAAGTCTTCTTGTCGAAACACTGGCTTTTTCCCAAGCGGCGCGAGAAGGGAAGGAGTGTGGCAGCACAGAGCTGAGCAACCACACGCAGCGAAGACTACGTGCCGGAGTCGACCGCGGAGCTTTCAGGCCTTGAATCGCAAACCGCCAAGTATCACCGAGGAGGCTCATACGTCACCCCCGAGCGGTGGTTCGACTGAGTCTCCACTTCTCATCGCAAGGAGGCAGGGGGTGAGCCAGACAGCCATAGAAAGAGAAGGAAGCGCAAGTGAACCGCACAAAATTATCTTGACGGCCTCTTAGTCAATGATACCTGCCATTCGTTGGCAACATCAGGGCTAAGACACCATCACCGTGGATATCAGGTCTCTCCTCAAGGTCCCTCCCGACTCAAATGAGTCCTCCGACTCGCCTCCCAAGCAGCCCCCCCAAGAACGATCTTCGTCCATCTCCGCGCCTCCCCCTTCAGCGGCAGCACAAGCAGCCGCTGATCCCTCAAGGCCAGCAACCACGGCAACCTTGGCACCAGCTGCGGCCATCTTTGGTGGTCCGCAATCAGTCGCCAGAGTGGCTCCTTCAGTCGGAACTCTGTACGCCGCGCCGCCGCCGGCGTACCCTCCGCCGGGCGCGTACCCTTTCCTCGGAGGAGGAGGATATGCACCGGCAGGGGCTGTCCCGGGAGGGGGGGGAGGGCAAAGGCCCGGATCAGCAGCATCAGGAGGCATTGGGTCAATAGGTCCTGGCCCGGGGCCGGGACCGGCTCCATCGCCAGCAAGCAAGCGCAGCGTGCCACCGCACACGACCGAGAGCCCAGCCAAGAAACAAAGCAAATGGTCACCAGAGGAGGACGCACTAATCATCGAGCTACGCGGCAGCGGCATGAAATGGGAGGATATCTCGAAACGGCTCCCAGGGCGCAGTGCGATTAGTTGTCGCTTGCACTATCAGAACTACCTCGAGAGACGAAGCGAGTGGGATGAGGAGCGCAAGAACAAGCTTGCGCGCCTGTACGAGAGGTGAGTGATCACCCCACTGTGCAATTCTCTCTTTGTGCGATCCAGGGCGCTCTTCGTGTTGGTCTTCTCTGCTTGCAAATCCAGCCTCCGAAAGGACAGCGGGAGGCTGGACCGGTCGAGAGAGACCCAACCACCGCTTGGATCTGTGGGCACAGGAATACCGGCAGGAAGATCCACACCCCCATCAGATGCTCGATTCAAGATTCTCGATCTCGTGAAAAGCCAGGACCGGAGATTTACTGACTCGTGCGATCTTGCACAATTGCAGGTTCAAGCCGGAAATGTGGGCCAAAGTGGCAGAGGAGATGCAAGTCCCCTGGCGCGCCGCCGAAGCAATGCATTGGCAGCTGGGCGAGGCCGACATGGCGCGGAGAGCTGGCGTCGTTCCTTTCTCGCTTACGTCGGTCAACATGCAGCAGGACAACACCCGGCAGTCACCAACCAGGGGCCACATGCATTCCCACTCGCAAGGAAGCATGCCGAGGAGCGACCCGCACCTGATGGGCCGGTACGCACCCCGCGGCGGCACGCCTCATCTTGCTCAGCAGCATCATCACCAACACCCTCCGCCGCCACACCCGCTGACGATCCCTCCGCCCGTACCGACGATACCACCGCCTGGACCAGGACGTGGTCCACTGCCGCCGAGGCGGGAGAGTCTGCCACCCCGACAACCCCCGGGCGACCTCTACGATCACGTTCATTCCGCGCCCGGGCCGGGACTGCCGCCCATCCAGACGCCCGCCGGCAGGGAGCGGGGCGGGGCAGGGGCAATGCATCTGCCAAGCGTGGCCGAGCTGACGACAGGCGTCAGCCCATACTCGACCCCTGCGTACTCGTTGGGCCGTGCAAGCGCGAGCCCCAGCGCGACGGCCAGCCCGAGACAGTCTGCGTTGCAGGGCTCGCCTTTGGGCTACGGAGAGTCTAGCAGCATTTTGGGAGCAGGACCAGCCACACCTGGGTCTGGCAAGAGAGGACGGTCAAGTCCGGACGCCGGGAGGGAGGCGATCAGGAGAAGGCACTAAGCGAGAGAGACGCAGAGAGGGTAATCCCGGCGGCAGTCGTGCCAGGGGGATGCATGAAAGTGGAATGAGGATGAAAGTTACGAAGACTACGATGATTTTCTTGGGAGGTTAGATATTCCTACACATACACAGCGTCATAAAACGAGATGGGACGGGCGGACGGTGGAACCAAGGGAAGGAATTAGGAACGGACATGGCTGGCTCGGGATTGGACGATGGATGGTCAACGATTTCCCACACGCACACGCACACAGGCACACACGGGCGCGAGGATCACACAGGGATTGTTTGTGTCGTCAAGTGGACGGGCCTTGACAGGACAGAGGCGAAACGAGCTACGACGACGCGATGCGATGCCAATGATGAAATACGCGGGGGCAACACGGTACTTGCATTTCATGGTGTGCATTTTGGAATCGGAACAGGTTGTCCATATTCTGTTTTGTTGGTCTGTTTTTTGGCCTTTCCTTTTCCAGTGTCTTTTGTCTATTTGGACAATCAAAAAAGAGCGAGAAACAAGCATCACATGCATCATTCATCATCATATCGGAAGGGGGATTGGAGGCTGGAGCAAAACCTGTGCTTATTTGGTCATCTGGATATCGGGAGCTTCACTCTTACGAGAGCCTGTTTCTTTATCCCAACCTTGTTGTTGTTTACCTACGATACCAAACCCCTGTTCTTCCTTGCCAGCGGACCCCCACCCACTCACTCCCAAGGCCCCGGATCCATCCCCCCCTATCCCCGGCCCCTTCCTTGTCAAACACTCGGCCGGAGACGCCGGGACGAAGAATAAAAAGAAGGAGGCATTTTCATCCGAGTGGTTCGGGGGGGACGGGGGGAGGGGGGTGTGTGAGAAGGGTATTTCTGCAGGAAACCCCCTTCCTCTGGGACAAACTTTCTTGCAGGAATAACGTTGCCATGGGGGGCAGGGGGAAAGACTGGCTGGGACAGGCAGGAGGACTACTTGCATGGATTGGAGTCAGGGAGAAAGAAGTTCACGATGCTACTTGCGACGAACAAGAAGTATCAGCCCAATGAGTCTCTCTTATCTTTGACGAAACGAATAAGAGCCAAGATCAAACAAGGGAAAAGAAATGGAGGGACATCACGCCGACAACAAACACCACCAAACACCCCTTTCAACGCCTTGAGACGCGGCGGCTTCTTGTACAGTCACTACTTTTTATTTCCAGCGGCACAATCATACAGACTTTTTGTTGATTCATCATCAACCGTGCTTTTTTTTTTCTTTCCCCATGCGCCATATGGTTTTCCTTCCATCGCTTGGCGCCTAAGAAGGGGTTTTGGGGGGGGCGGGACACATACTACACTGACACGCTTGGGTTTTGGATATTTCCTCGGGGAGGGGGCATGACGATTCGGTTGCCATACGTGGAAGATGGGATCATGGGTGGTGGGGAACCAGCACAGGGACAAGCCAAGCAACTTTGTGGCCATTTGTTGTTTTGCTGTTCCTGCTCCGCATACGGGCTGTTCCCTTTTCTGTCATTTTCTCCTTGATTTTTGATTTGCTTCTATTTTTTCCTTTTTTTTCCTTTTGGTGCGATCAACCCGGGCATAGCGATGGATGGGATGGACATGGAATGAAACGACGGGGAAAGATGAGACTTGATACCACACGGCACCTGAGAGGAGACAAAAAGTGTGGAGACCCCTTTTTCTTCTTCTTCGGTGTCCTTTCCTGGGGAGCGCCTCACCACTGGGTCACAAGACTATCTGCCGAGCGTCTGAACTGCCGACCTGGATCCGAATCGTGTGCGTGTGTGTGTCCGACCTTGTCCAGGCGGGCCCCATGAGTCCAGATCTAGTGCGTGTGCGTTGTGGCCCCCCTTCGGGCAAAGTTGGGAGAAAAAAGGGTTCGATAGAGTTTTGGCCTGACAGCATAGTCGCAGAGTATCTAACCATCAAACACCACCCGCGCGCCGATCAGAAAGAAGCAAGCGATGAGATGGATCATCGATGTAGCCCTAGATCGTTTTCTGTCACCCGTTTCGATCCTGTCATGTCCGTTGTCCGCCAGGGGTTTCCCATCCTCTCCTTTTTCCCTTTTTGTCCTTTGGTCATGGGTATCCGGTTGGATCACCCTGCAATGACCCACCAATTGTCTCGCTCGTAGCCGCTGCTCAGGACCGACCCCCCTGCGGCGACGACCTCTTCCTCCAGCTCGCCCTCTCTGTACAGGTGGTAGTATCGGTGGAATGTCTTGTCGGTGTGGGCTTCCTGCTGCGAGTTCCCGTCGGCCACGTCGTTTTCGGTTGTGCCCGGATCTGCAGTAGCGTCGGCTGCAACGGCTTCGTGTTGTGCATCATGTTGCTGCTGCTCTTGTTGTTGGCCCTGCTGCTGCTGCTGCTGTCGCCCGCCGTCCGCCGTCCCGTCGCCTCCTTCACCGCCGCTTGCACCGCGACGTTCATCTGTTGCCCTGTCCACATGCTGTATCTTTGCTTCTTCCGCGGGACCGCCCTTGTTTTGCTTCTGCCGCTGTCCCTGCTTCTGCTGGCCCTTCACCCTTGCCTTCTTCTGCTGGGGTGCCTTCATCACCCAAGGAACCAGCAGGTCCTGCTCCCCGCCTTCAGCCCATCCCCTCCTGCTGCTGCTCTGCTCCAGCGCCCAGACGTACACAAGTACCTGGCCCGCGCTCGAGCCCGGGCCCTGGCCCTGCCCCCCGCTATGCACGTCTGCAGCGCCTTCAGCATGATGCACATCATGCGGCTGGGACGCTGTCCCTGTTGACGTGTTGCCGCGGCGGTCTCCCCGCCTCACGCAGCGCAGGAGCTGCCTGATGGCGTCAACCCGCCTCTCCCTCGTGGACAGGTGGTGGATGACAGCGATACAGATGACAAAGTCGGCGCTTGCCTCCCTAAACGGCAGCGCCAGGCTGTCGGCCGCCACGGCGTCCGCGCCTGTTATGACACCTCCTAGGCCCGGGCCTGCCTCGGCATCTGGCACCTTGCCTTCATCTGGCTGTTTCCGATAGCGTGCTGTGCACATCGAGTCCCTGGCGAGTGCCACTAGGGCGGCGCTTCTGTCGCAGCCCAGCATGGCGACATGCTGGTTCACGCCCATGTTCTTGCCGTTGCCGCAGCCGATATCCAGGCCCACGGAGCCCGGTGGCCGCGAGGCCAGGAAAGACGACACAAATGGCCAGGGCTTGTGACGCGTCGCGCTGAAATGTGAGGCGATGGCCTCGTATACGCCGTGGACATGGGTCTCCTCGTAGGCATCTGCTGGCCCGTCGCCCTCACCGGACCGCGATGGCCTCGCCGCGGGAGGTGATGCCAGCACCATGGCCGTGCTTGACTGCGAGTTTCGCCGAAGTAACTGCAGGGGATGTGGGGGGTGGGGGCGGAAACCTGCCTCAGGCTGAGGACAGTTCAGGCAGGGCTATCTCTTGGCTCCCAGCTGACAAGACCAGACGGTCAGGCTCAACGTCGCCGCCTTGGGTCGTTGAAAAAGGGGGCCTTCCGTCGTGCGCTGGCCTGCTCGCATGTGTGTGTGGGTGTGTGCGTGTGCGCGTATGTGTGTGTATGCAGGTAGTCTAATGCTGGACGTGGTCTGATATGCAAGCAGCACCGTTGCAGCAGAAGTGATCCCGGATCTGCAGCTTCGGATTGGGCAAGTTCCAGCGGACAGGTCCAGATAAGGTTCAGCACGGTCCGACCCCAGATCACACTCTAGTGTCGTGTCGTTTCTCTAGACCGTTGGGCCGGAACCGGGTTAAGGCAACCGGGCTGAATCGAAAAGAACAGGATGGAGCACACAGTAATGTGGTACAGCACAGGGCAGGGCAGGGCAGGGCAGGGCAGGGCAGTAGGTAGTGCCGAGGTAGAACAAATCTGGCGCCCGTTGTGCGTCTGTGTGTCTTTTGCTTGTGCGCTGTGTCTTGTTTTGCCTTGTCTTGCCTTGTCACTTATGAGTACCTAGCTGAGTCGAGCCGAGTCCCTGGTCCCCTGTCCGTCGAGCTTGTCCCTCGTCCCTTGTTCGCTCAACGTCTGCGGCCGCGATGCGGTTCCGCTTGAGACCTGTCACGGCAACGGTCACAGTGACAGTTCCGGTACCAGGTCAGTACCGGCAACACCAGTCAGCAGTGAGCGAGCGGTCCAGCTAGCGGGCCCCAGCTGTGGTGCTACCCGACCGAACCACTGGTTGCGCACCCTCGGAGTTTTATTGCTGAGTACCACTCTATTAATGTTCGCTGGCCAGCCTCCAGCCCCTTGGCCCGAACACTTGTGAGATGATCTCGTAAAATCGAGATTGGGGTGAGCCTGCGTGCGCAGGTGTGTGTGAAGCAGTCAGGCGGCTGCATAAGGGTGAGTAAGATGCGAGCGGGACGGTACCATCGCTTCCCTCTAGCAGCTGTGAGGTCTCTTTTATGGCGTGGTATGTATGTACGTACCTCGTCAACTATTCTGGTTGCCTGCCCGCACAAATAGAGAAACCAACAAAAGGACCGTCCGCGGACCTAGGTCATCTGTTCAGACTGCAGATTACAGATCACAGGCAGCGGGACGGCGGAAAGCAGACAGCAGACCGCGTGTCGTTGGATTGAGGCTCAACGGCCTGCGAGGACGAGCCCTGTGTGCAGGTGCAGGCGCCCGAGACAGAAATTCTCGGCACGACCCACTGGTGTTTGTTGACGTGGATCTTGCAGCGACAACCGATCGAGCGAACAAAGAATGGCCTTGTGTGTCGTTGTACTGGGGCTGTACGTAGGTCGCACGTTGGTCGTACCCTGGCTGGAGGCTGGATGTGAGATTCTGTGGTTGTGTGGGCTCTGTGTGTGTGGTTGCATATTGTACTCGGTACTCCAGGGGGGGGGGCGTCCATATTTCTTGCAGGATCTGAGCTGGTGTGGGCATAGTGACCGACCAGGATTGGAGCTGCGGAGCATTTTTCGGAAGGGGGGGTAACGTTTGCTGAGCCCTGTGTCCCTCGCTTCGATCCTCCTCGCTTCTGGTGTTAGGTTTATTCTCCGACGTCCCTATACTGCAGGCCATGGTATGTACATCATCATAATGCTCGCCACCCTTGTCCATATCCCAGCCCTCATCAGTCGAAACTTGTCTCGAGGGGCTCCTTTCTCCCTCCGGAACTGGACGCAGCATGCCTCTTGCTGCGGCTGATTGGCCACGGCCAGCTCCATTACAAATTAAAGCCGGCACGTTCATAGACATTTCCTGACCGACAGACCGACAGCCCGCAACAACAGGCCGACTGGGGATATCGGACGCCCGTGTCTCGAACCGTTCGTCGACGGTTTTATTTTGTCCTATTAAGGCCTGGATGTCTCGTCGGCTCAGACTCGGTCATGCGGCCTGAGCCTAACGGCAGGGCTGAAACACGGGCAGGCTGGCCAATTTAAAGGGAACGGCGAAACCGACGCGTCGTGCACGTGTATGTACGCGGTCTATTCATTCTATATCAAGCCCCCCCTTCACCTTCCAGCTAGGACAGCCCCAGTGCGTGGCACGCGGCAGCGCACCATTTGCATGTGCACTGCCCCGGCTGTTTGTCGACACGACGAACCTCTAATTTAGGGACTGTCCGTCCTACTGATTGCCTGTGTTCAGGGGGCTCTTTGCGTCGAACACGTCTGTTGTGATGAGCGCAGGATACTCGATGCCCCCTTGCTTCAGGGCCTCCTCCATCACCTCCATGATGACGATGGACTCCTGCCAAGGCAAGCTGGCACTCTCGAGCTTGCCATCCCGGAGGCACCGCGCGCATTCGTCGGCCTCCCAGAACATTCCATGCCCCCAGTTCCTCGCCTTGTCCTGGGGGATTGGGCAGTCGACAACCTCGACCTTGCCCGGGTTGGCCTTCCTTATGACCTTGTACTGCAACGGTCGGTAGGCCGGGGCCGCGACCTGGATCTCGCCCTCGGATCCCTGAATCCTCATGGCCGGGCCCGCCGTGCCCTGCCCATCAATGTCGGACGCCGAGCGCAGGCCGGTAGTCGCGATGCCCATCTGCTTATGCTCCGGGAAGGCAAGGACAACGGTCGTGTTGTCGTCGGCGCCAGTGCGGTACTTGTTCATGCTGGCCACCACCTTGGGGGCTTCCTTGTTCTCTTGCAGGTGGTACAGGGTCTGGAACAACCAGGTCAGGGAGTAGATGCCCAGGTCGAGGAGGGCGCCGCCGGCCAGTTCGGTGTTAACCATGCGGTGTTTGTCGTCAAACTCCAGCGAGCCGTCCGGCATGCTCGTGTTGAAAGAGTTGTCGGCTGTCGCGTCGCAACGCATAAGCTGTCAGCCCGCACGTTCCAACGGCCCCGAAGGGGTTCCCCAAACAGTCATGCAAATTGCGCGACAGGCAAGCGCCCAGTAGCCGAAACCATGCAATCACTTCAAAACTCACCAGTGACACGGTAGACAGTTCCAATCTCCCCGGACGTGATAAGCTCCCGGATCTTGATGCTCAGGGGAAAGTATCGCGTCCACACGGCCTCCATGAAGAACAGGTTCTTTTCCTTGGCCTTGGCCACCAGCTTCTTGGCCTGCGAGGCATTGACCGTCAGTGCTTTCTCGCAGAGCACGTTCTTGCCGGCCTCGAGGGCCAGCATGGCGTTCTGGAAGTGGTGGCTGTGAGGCGTGGCCACGTAGACAATCTGCACGTCCGGGTCGGCCACGAGCTCAGCGTAGGAGCCATAAGCCTTAGGAGACCCTGGTACGCCGCAGTCCTTGAAAAACGACTCGGCGCGCGACTTGGACGAGGACGACGCCGCGGCGACGACCTCGTGGGTGACGTCGTGCACGTCACGGGTCTTGGGGTCGTTGAGCAGGTCCTTGACGAAGGCTAGGGGGGCATGTCATGTCAGCTGACAGCTCTTGTCTTTGCTTATCCTGTCTACCCATGCATGTCCCGCATGTATGTTTGTATGTGTTGTGTTTGTGTGTTGGCTGAACTTAACTGGTTGCGATGCCACCCGTGGCCATGATGCCCCATTTCACCGTGTAAGGAGCCATCTTGTGTGACGTCGTACGGGTTCAAGTTGAAGTTAGAGAAGCAGTTCGCGGTGAAACAAATTGACTGGCTGGTCTCAATGGCAAATTCGGTCAACGACTTCAATGAGGAAATTATTTACGTGGAGGACAACGCGAAAGAGAAAGCGATCCCGCAGGCTCAGACACACAGACACGGCGGGGTAATGGGGCAACCCCACGCTTTCTGGGAAGAAGCTCAAGCTTGACGATGATGTTACCTCCACACTATGCCCCTCACCGGGCGGATCTCGCCCTCCAACATTTGGCTTCTGCCCCCCAAGCGGCCCGCATTACCGTATTAGGGTCAATGAGTAATGACGTTGAATCAAACATGCGTAGTCTACTATGTTCGCGTACCCTTGGTTAGCTTCTAAGCATCCAGACCACTGGGAAGCCTCCAGAATACGACGACAGACTGCGAAAGAAGCTGTATGTCCCAGTATCGCTTTGGGTTCCTGAGGGACATCCAAAGATGCTCAACCCTCCAAAAATGTTCAAAGGGGCGGGAGGGTGTGACTCAGAAGCTTCTTCCCAAGCAGGCTCCGATTTCTAGGCCGCGCTTGACAACCACATCAAGGTGCCCACAACGCCAAGGAACCCAGGTCTCGACAGTCTTTCTGTGCAGGGCTATTTCTCGATCTCTTCTTCTCATCGAGCACATGCACTTCTCCGAAATGGTGCATGGTCATGAAGAGCACTCAAGAGAGGTCCAAACTGTAGGGAAATTCTCTACAGCAAACTGTCTTTCACTTCAAGACGCCATGCTACTGGAAGTTGTCCCTGGCATCGTCAACCTCTCTCTCTCTCTCTCTCTCTCTCTCTCTCTCTGTGTGTGTGTGTGTGTGTGAGTGTGTGTGTCCTCCTCTCGCCCTATCTGTCTACTTCTCTCCCTCGCCAGCCAAGTCCCGCAGCTGAAAAGGGCAGCTGATTCTCTGTTGGCTCTTGAAACTGTGGCGCCAACAGACCGCCTCTCCCTTCATGATTTTCATACTTTTCCGATCCTTCCGCACGGCATGGACGACGCTTTCCTTGCAGATATGTAAATGTGGGTTCTGCTTCAGGCGCGTGGTGAAGAAAGCATGCTTTGGAGCCTGCTCACGTGCTCGCCGCTTATGCCGACTCAGACAGAAAAGGGAAAAAAAAGGAAGCACGGAGGAAAGAAAAGCAGATCTACATTCCAGGGGCTTACCTGCCGTCTCGAGTCTCGAGGTTAAACAGAATCGTTAACAATCGACTGTCCTTGTCCCAGTTTCAACGCGGAAAGAGAATGCGAAATGGAACAAGACAGGGGACTGGGTTCAACTTGCTGTTCGCATGGGTGACAACCGTATCTCTCCTTGCCACTTGAACAGTGGACTGAACAGACATGGCCAAGTCGTGAACATTGTCGTGTCATCGCCACATACTGTAACTTTCTGTGAGTAAATCACTCAAAGCCGATCACACATCGTACTGATCTAGATCTTCCACCAGCGGGTTATTAGACCTGATATTGATACTTGACAGCGGGTTATTAGACCTGACATATTGTTACTTGACATCGCGTCACAAGGATCACCACGCCTCTGTTAGCCAGCATCATGGGCAGACTTATCTACGGCACGGCCTGGAAGAAGGAACAGACTGGGGAACTGGTTTACTGCGCGCTGAAGGAAGGGTTCAGGGCTGTTTCTACCGGAGCTCAGCCTGAGAACTACGAGGAAGCCCTGGTCGCTTCGGGAATTCGACGGGCCATTGACGCGGGTGAAGTGTCACGGCAAGATGTTTCCGTAAGGTCTCCCCTGTCCTCTGTATCCTCGTGTCTTCCGTCAATGGGGAGCTGTCTGAAGCACACCTCACAGTGGATGAACTCTGACAACTCACCACAGATCCAGACTACATTCACCCCTTCTGGCGTCCAGGCCAGTAAAAAGGTGGTCAAGGCCAACAGCAGGGAAGACGCCCGTCCAGGATGGCGATGCCCCGTCACGCGAAGGGCCATCCCAGGCGACTGTCCCTATGACCCCACCACCTCCCTGACCGAGCAGGTTCACAGCTCGGTGGCCTCATCCCTGAGGAACTTCACCTTCGCGCCCAGCTCCGAGGCTGCATACCTCGACGCCGTCATCCTGCACCACCCCTACCGCGCCCGCGAGCACACTGAGACAGTCTGGACCGCCCTTTCCACCTACGTCCCACACTCCATCCGGCACCTGGGCATCAGCAACGTGGACGGCGAAGAGCTGCAGCATCTCCTTGACTTCTGCCGTGAGAACCCGACCACGACCGTCAGGCCCAGCATCGTGCAGAACAGATTTCTCCACGGCCACAACTTCGACGACGCGGTCCGGGCCATCTGCAAGCAGGACCACATCGAGTACCAGGCCTTCGGCGTCCTGAAGGAGAGCAGGTTCCTGCTCCAGGACCAGGAGACGGTCGGCGCGGTCGCCGAACTGGCGTTTGTGAGCCGCGAGGCGGCGCTGTATGCGTTGGTCATGGCCCTGCAGGATGACATGGCGGTGTTGGATGGCACCTCGGACGTGCAGACGATGTGGGCTGACATCGATGGCGTGCGGAGGGTTGGGTGGTCTGCCGAGAGCCTGGAGTGGAAGACGGCGCTGCAGAAGTTCAAGGAGGGTATCCATGGTTGCCAGACTGCTGGAGAGACTATGTTGAAACTTTAGGTTCACCAACTAACTAGCTACGTTGGGCCCCTTCTCGATCCTCCAATGAATTTGCTATTGTGATGTTGAAGATCATGTCCCTATCTTTTGAGCTGTTGTACCCGTGCCGTACTCTCATGGTGCTCTCGATCCGGTGGCGCAAGCTCGAGAGAACGAATGAGCGTCCGCAGGCGAGCACACCGTGTCTATCTCACAGGTGAGATGTGCTGCTTCGCCCATTCGTCAATTCCTGTAAAGTGCTGATCTATTCCTGTCGCCCATCATTGGCTATGCGCGACATCCATGTTCCGTCAGTCACGATGGCTGTTGTCTGCATGAGGAAAGCTCATGGGCAAGGCTTCAAGTACTCTCACCTCCTACCGATAGGCCCGAACAAGCTTCAAAACTTTAAATCACTCCTTCACGGGATTTGTGTCATCTGGAGTGAGAGTAGAAACGCCGAGTCGGTCGAGTACCTCTTGAAAGGCAAGTACATGCGAGAGAGAGGATGGCTGGGGTCTCACAACAGAAACAACGATTGAACAGCTTGATTCTTGGTCTTCGGAGTAGCTCCCATGAATCAGATACTCAAGGACATTCACCAAGTATCCCAAGTGGTCACGGTACAAAGAAGAGCAAAGCAAGTCGCCAGCAAGGTCTTGAGAATCAGTTTAACAATGCGTGATGCTAAATTCACAGTGACTCCCTCCTCCAATAACCCGTGAAGCAGAAAGCAGTCCATCGCTGTGGTTGCCCCTTTGGACGGTCTAAATAAGATATACATTTTTATTATGCCACATGTGTGTGCATCTCTGTATGCTCGTATGTCCTCTCCTTCCCACGATGCATCCCTTCCGCGTGACATCGGAGCCAGGACATCTTTACGCCTTTTTGATGCGATGGTGTCGTTGCGGGGATACCATTAACGCCTTGAATGCATTTGAGCCAGGGCCCTTCATGAGCTGGCATAAGCTGTGGTGTGGTCAGGTGGACCACGCCTTCGTAGACATTGTAGCCTTTGACAAATTCCATTTGTCATGGACCACTTTCCCAAATTGCTGAGTAGAGGTAAGAATGCCTCATCAGAACCTCAAGAGAAGTTCAGTTGCCTCCAATATCGAGCAGTCTCTTGTCCAAGATCATGTGTCCATCTTGAGTCGGCCTCCCCGGATATTTCCCATCTCACCCTAGGCGTAGGTTAGCACAAAGTCATTCCAAATGATCTCCATTTTAAGCAAGAGGCTCACCTCAGCCTTCCTCTTCCCCAGGACATGGTCAGGCGTCGATCTGGCACCGCCGCCGCCGTACATGGGCGTGTTGCCCCCATCCTTGGTCACCTCCGCATAGCAGCTCGCATGGTAGGCCCGACCGCCCACTCGCGCGGCGTCCGTCCACACCCACTCCTGTGCCTCATCGAGCCACTTGGTGACAAACTTCTCTTGGCAGATGGGGCAGACTGTATTAGTGTTGTCTCCGTCCTCCGGCACAGGGATGTACTGTATCTTCGGGCCGGAAGACTTAGCGGCTGAGGAGGCGGCCGCGTTGTTGGCTGCATCGGCGTCGGCATCGGCTTGGTTGTCGTCGACTGTCTCTCTGGATTTTATCCAGTCCTGAGGGTGACATCAGCCATGTTCGAGGCTCTTCTACGGGAAGAATGTCATCAAATACTTACCGCCTGATCCACATACCAACTGCGGTGCTGACCCCTCTTCTCTGCCTCGACGATCCTTTGATGTACTCGGAAGTGCCAGTCCATGTGAGCGGTCTTCTTCTTCCTTCCCTCCTCGTCGGTTTTGAAGCGTCTCCCACACTGGGTACATGGAGGGCCCAATGCCTCGTATATGGTGGGGACAAGATGGGGTCGGAATCTATAAGGTGGTCAGAAATCACTTAAAAAAAGTTTTGTGTTTCATTGCGCTGTGCTGTGAGACAACCGAAACCTTGGGGAGAGGCAAATGACATACTGTTTCAGTGAAGATGTCGTCAAACTAATGTCACCACTCGTGATAACGACTGGCGGCGGTGCTGACGATGCAGCAAGGTTGCGGGCCGACGCAAGAATGCTGGCAAGGTTTGGTGGTAATGAAATTCCTCCAGCCGCAGGAGTAGGTGTCGTGACAGAAGCCGTATTGGCGGCTGCTGCAGTGGGTGGTGGAGGCCCAAGTGGTTTGCTCAGGGGCGTTCCGCCGGACTGTGGCGTGGGAGGTATGAGACCGACACCACGCAGCGCACCCAACAATGCCATCGGATCAGGAGTGGCGGGCTTCTGCGGCTCAGCCTTTGGTAGAGTAGGAGACCGCAGAGCAGCAACAGTTGCCGGTTGCGGTTGAGGTGTTGGGACTTGAGGTGTGGCAGACCGTCGGCTCAGCAACGCAGCCAGAGCACCCTTACCAAGCAGTGCGTCAAGAGACACAGGAGCTGGTGGAGCCGAAGCAGGCGGCGCAGGGGCTACTGGTGCTATTTGTTGCGGCGGATGCTGCATAGGGGCATGGTATGGGGGTCCGTGGATGGGTGGTGTAGGAGTGACAGTCTGGTGGGCATTTGAGGCCCGGTATTTTACAGCAAGATTAGCTACTTGAGTCTTCACAGGCACCAACTGCTCTTGCGACAGCATTGCCCCGCGAGTCTTCAGAACCGTCTGCAGATCCAACAGCGCCTTCAGCTCCGTCTGTATACTAGTATCATATGGCGACCTCCCAAGTTCAGCCCTGGCGGCAACAACGAGTTGCTCGATTTCATTAATCAAGGAATCTATGCTTATTCCAGGTTGAGCAGCAGGGGCACCGTAAGAACCAAAAGGTGGTGGCTGGAAAGGCGCAGCGGCCGGGGTTGACATGTGTGGTTGCGGTGTTGACCCTGGGTATTGGGCAGGCTGAAGAATGTCAGTCAAGGCACGAGGGCACATGGATGTAGGCATTCTTACTGGATGCTGTGGGTATGCTGGCTGGCCGAGGGCTGATTCAGGTCGATGGCCATTGATCCCAGCGTGAGGCGGTTGGGGCTGATTGAACTGCTGGCGGGCATTCGGAGGGGTTGGCGTGTTTCGATGGGGTGCAACAACAGGTCGTCCCCCTCTGCCAAAAAGCTGGTGTTGGGTGCGCATTTGCTCCTGATGAGCCTGGAGAGCCGAAGTCCTGGCCTTAATCAAGGCGTTCTCGATGGGGCGCACCACATCAGGAGGGAAGACAGGGTTCTTGTCAATGGACCCAGGGACGGGCTCTTTCCAAGTCTTCAACATCTCCTCCATTTTCCTGCGTGTGTTGTCGTTGACTGAGGCATACGAGTCCATGAATGTCGAGTATAGATTCTTGCCGAAGAACAAGGTGTAAGGGGTGCCAATATTCTTGACGATGGAGTCCAAGACGTACATGGCTGGGAGCTTCCTCTGTGGAGGTACCTGTCACAATGTCAGCTACTGTTGCAGGGAATACAGGGAGCCGAGACGTCAAGTCATGGGAGAAAGCCAGCTGGCTCAGTACGAGAAATGCGAGGCAGCTTCCGGGATGGGGGCTACCTACTTTCTTAATGTGCTGCTCCAGAGTCTCTGCGATTGGGAAGGCATAGTTGGTCAAGTCTCTTGCAATCTGGGTCAGGTTCGTGATTTCGAACCGAGAGTTCATGGTCAAGCCATCCAAGGCGCTCTGGTAATCCTCGATCACCTCGGCTGTCTGATCCTGCTCGTCGTATGACATGGTGGGCAGTTTGAGGATTGGGCAACGCAGGCTGTGCGCAAGAGTTCAAGGGCACGATCCAAGAGAGGAATGAAGGCCAAACAAGCGAGGTTCATGAACAGGTGACAGGGCCCAGCGTTTGCAAAGTAGCATTCAGAAATCGCCCCAACACCGCCAAATTCACAGCCAAGTGGACACCGAATAAACAATCTGATGAAGCGCAAGACCTATTGCTTCCTAGAGCCTGGCGCTCCAAAGGATGCCGCTCTTTCCAGCACGGCCACCTCCAGCTGACCCAAGCAAGAATGGGGCACGCAAGATCAACTCTGGTTTGCCTCAATGGCTCATCATCTTCCTCCCAAAATTGCGCGACCAGTAAATATTGTTTTTGTTTTGAATCACTGTAATGTGTAATTGGGAGCCTTTGCCGAGCTTCGTTCGTGCTCAATAGTGGTGGAGGCTGCAGACGGCGATCTCGGTGGGCGATCGGGACGTGGCACTGCTCCAAGTCCGGCAAGTGGTCGTGCGACAGTTGGATCAGGGGGAGACCTCACTTGACAATTGATCGTGATTCGACCTGTTGATAAATGTGGGAAGCCGACTGTGTTCAGGTGAAGTGAGACCTTCGTGGTAAGAATGGTCTGGAAGTGGTGAGGTCGAAAGAACCATGGGCAAACCAGACGTCAAAGGCAGAGAGCCGCACTAGCGCTGGACAACGGTTATGTAAGCAAAGCTACCCCTGTATAATTCACAACGCCCTGCCTTCGAACGCGTCTTAGCGCAAAGAGGCCCTTGAATTAGCAGTCTAGTCTATGTTGACTCCACAACATTGAACTTCATTAATGTTGCATCAAGAGGCAAGAAATGCCGATCACGCAGTTTAATCTATCACTCTTGAGGACTGTGCGCAAATGTGAGGAATCGTCTTTGTCTTCTTTGTCCTCCAAAATCAGGTACCTGAGACAAGGCCTATCCCCGACTTCCTTTGTGTGCCTACCCATGTGTGCATGGAACAGATCCCTATGTTGCTGTCTTGCTGCCGCCGTTTTCCCCTGCCAGCAATTTCCTCAGTTTGCCATTGCTGGGCTGTCGGAGGGACCACGAGATAAGCGCTTTTTCTGGTCCCGCTGAGTAGCAACTCATCTGTCCCTCGACAGTCTCGACTCGATCGCCATCTCCAACCTTTGCCAGTTCGACGGACTGATTGATGATGCTGTCCATATCGTATCTACCAACCCTTTTTGGTTGACATCTCGTATCAGCGGATTGTCTCTTATCGAATGATGTGCCTCGAAATGCTTTGCAATGGTGCGGTCGCTGCATGTTACCTACCAGGTAGTATCTTTCCTTTCGTCAATCCTCTTCACCGCAATCTCACAGCTTCCATGGGCGATAAGCTTGTAGTACTGGTCGGGCAAGTGAGTCGATTCCCGCCAATCCGACATCTCGATGCTGAAGCTGCCATTCAAGCCATCCGTGATAGCAAAGCAGTCGGCGACCTGGATCTGGCCGCCACCAACAACGTCAAAGTCGCTTATGTTACATGACTTGCTCCTCGCGATGCTGGTGATGTTCACACTAAAACCAGGAATTTGGTAATGAGGGTCACTGGCGAGGCCGATGTCAGTCAGCATTCCAAGAAGGAGGATGATGATGGAGAGCATCTTGTCGATTGCAGGTTCAATTGGTGATGTGTTGCTTTTGACCAATGGTTGCTGATGTTCAAGAGATAGATCTGAGACGGCTCTTGAGGTCATTGGTGTTGACTGCAGCATAGATTTTGGGAACAAGCGCTTTACAGCTCAGTGAGCTCTCATGCATTGAGGTAGTGCAGGGTTGTGGTGTGATTCTGTAGGTGACTGGACATCCAATCTTCCTCTGGAATGTTGAGTGACTAAGTCACGCTGGGTGGCCTCTCAGCTGTCACAAGGATGTACATCAGAGTGATCTGAAATCAGACCTGACATGAATATACCTGGTCAGTGTGTCCGGAGAATGCATCGGCATAAAGTGGATCTTTTGTATATTGGGACCAACACATTCAGCAAGACAATGTTCAATAATATGATCAGCAATGGTAATCATAGAGGCCTGCACTGCTAATGGCACCACACTGCTAATGGCACCAACTTTTTCTTCAGCCATATCAATTCGACGGCTTCCTAGGGGCTGCGGCTGGTGTTGTCGAACGTCTGTAGGTCAACCAACCGACGAGAGCCAGATCTGAGATGTATCCATCTGAGCTGTGATATGATTTCTGCCACTGTCAATAGGCACGCCGATTTGCCTAGTGTGCCGAGGAAGGCTTTTTTGCCGCCATTTTCGATTGGATTTCTGGATGTTGATGTTGTTGCTCAACTAAGTTCTTGACCTGCCTCGTTTGTGGTCCCAGTGGCTTGGTATTCAGTTTTGATTCTCACTCCCCACCGGTGGGCATTCAAACTAGCCATGGCCCAATCTTGTCGATTCTGTCATCTGCAGTGGTGGTACTTAGAGAAGATCTTCCCAACTCCCAGTCTAGCACTGAATCAGAGTATCTATGGCAGAGGGCAAACCAAGAAACCATTGACGAATGCAAAATGTACTGGCAAAAGTCAAACATTTATTCAATTAAAAGAATGCCATACTCAATTTCACACTTGGAAAAAGTCATAAGAAGTTTCTTAAAAAAGAGACTTCATGTTACAAACCTTGCAGTATTCAAACAGATTGACTTTGCAATTTGGGGCACGTCACGATATTCTTAAATGCTTGCACCTCAAGAGCCAGGCAAGTTATTCTCTTTTCCCTTTTCCTTTTCTTTCAATCACAAGGACTCTGCCTCCCTAGTTGACACTACCAGGGGTCCTTATAGTCCACTCAAAATTGCTTTCGCCATTGTTGGCAACGTCCGAGTTGCAATTCATCTGTCCCTCGACCGTCTCAAAGGTGACGCCATCGCGCGAGCTGGCGATAGAAGTGTGGACAAGATCCTTCATGTCCTGGTCTCCAAGCCTGTGCCGCGGTTTGAAGAAGTTAGCAAGCGGTCCTCTCAAACAGCTTCTTCTCCCTAGGTGCCGACCGAGGTCGACATCGGAAAACTCACATGATGGTGTTATCAAGGCCGTCGATGCTCTTTATTGCAAACTCGCAGCTGCCGTTCGCCGCCAGCACGAAGAAGTGGTCCGCCAGGGCCGTCGAGTTCTCCCAGCATGACAGCTGGTAGGTGAAGTGGCCCGGATCCCACAGGGCCAGGAGGTTGTTGCAGTCTGCGATGGGGACCATCTTGTCCGTGTCGCCGAGGTCTGCCTTAGGTTAGCCACCTTACACAGAGCTAGGGAAAGCGATCGAGTTGAGGCATTTCAGGCAGATGGCAAGGCAAGTGGCAGTGGTCCAGGATACATTTCACCAGGTACATACAGGAGAAAGAGCTGTCACGGCACTGGTTACTGGCGCTGCTCTCCTCAACGGCGACGACGTCGTTGGGCTTCTGATACTGGGGATCAGGCGCGGCGGTGCCATGGCAAACCATCGCCAGGAGGGCAGATATGGTGAGAACCATATTGGAAGGCATGTCTGGAGTTTTTGGGACGAAGTAAAAGAGTCGCAAATGGAAGTTGCCGTTCCAGGAAGCGACCTTGTAGGTGAGGGTTTTGGTGTTGGAAGTAGGGGCTGGCAGATTTGGGGCGGGCAGCCACTCGATTTTTATATTGTTGGTCCAAGATCGAAGTTCCAGATGTTTTCAACTTGTTTGGTGTCTCAGTGAATCACTCGAGCGCCACTGTACTCACCCATGACTACGTGTATGAAACTGGCGATCCTTCGTCTCCTTAGAAGCAAATGCAGGATGACAATTCTATAGATTCATCAGAGACATTCACACTGAACTGGTTAATATCTGTGCCGTGCTTTGAGACTGTATAAGATCCCTTCGAAGGGATGATACCTATGTGACGTGTCTGAGCACACTGTTTAATATAGATTTATTGCTCACTACGACTGCGACTTTGCTTGTAGCCTCTTAAGAGAGGATGGGGTCAACAAGAAGGGGCATTCACATACCAGCGGATAGACCACGAGGGCTGGACGAAGTCTGCGCTCTAGCTTAATATGACCAAAAATACCTGGTCTGACAATTCACAAACGATAATTGCAAACAAGTCCGTTGGTACAGTAACTTTCCTTATTAAAGCTAAGGATTATCTGCTACGCATGCTCGGCCGCAGCGTCGCATGAAGGCCCTTTTCTGCCTTTCCTCTGAAAATTAATGGGTATCTGGTTTGGATCTCTCAACGCCGGTGAAACTAAAACAACGCCTGGATATGCTTTCTGCTCTTTCGAGTTTGTGATTTCTCAATCTATTCACCACACCCGGACTGGGACCTAGGCACCGTCCAAAGTGACAACACCTCTCTCTTAAAACCGCGTGAGATAGCTCGCCGTGGAGTAAATGCTTGATCGGTACGTGCGAGCCTTGCCGGTATAGGCGGGATGCAGAGCGGTCGGCGGGCGCTGGAAAAATGAGGATTGTCAGCTCTCGTTCTCTCCTCTTAGATCCAGTTGCCCGCAGGCCTCTCACATACCTGGACGTTCGGCGCGATGGGGCTGGCCCGGTCGCTGGCTTCCCACGACTCCCGGGTGGGGCCGGGGCTCACAGGGCTCACGGGCCGGATGACCACGTTCTCCTGGTGGTTGTGGTGGTCATGGTGGTCGGGGTACTGGGCCTCGATGTCCCTCTCGGCCATGACGGGCGCGCTGATGGGCGCGCTGATCTGGGGCTTCTTGTCCTTGCCGAACATGCGGGTGATTCGGTTGTTCTGGAAGCCTTGTGAAAAGTTGTAGGTGAAACGGTTGCCGGCGTTGGCGTGGTGCTTCTCCTTGCGGACCGAGTTGGAGCGGGCGCTGCCGTTCAGGGTCGAGGCGTCCAGGTCGTAGTCGGGCGGCATCATGGTCGTGCGGACGTTGTAGACGTTGGCGCCGTGCTCGCGGACCATGCGCGCGGTGATGCCGTGGGTCCCGTTGCGGAAGAGCACCGAGACGATGAAGTTGAAGAAGCCGAAGACGAGAGCGAGGATACCAGCGCCCAGGGTCAGCCTCCAGAGCGGCAGGGACAGCTTCTCGACCAGGTTGTCGCCGTGCAGAGAGCCCATGACCCAGGTGCCCATGGAGATCATCCACACACCGAGCCAGGCCAGCGAGTGACCCCTGTTGCAGGCGTCGACGGTAGAGAAGGTGGGCCAGTTGCTGCGGAAGAAGTCCCTGATGACGCGCGGCTGAGGAAGCTCAGAGACGATGAGCATGAGCGCAACACCGGCAGTGACGAGGTGGGAGAAGGCCTCGAAGAAGAAGAAGCTGTTCTTGACGTCGGTCTTGATGACCAGGACAACACTCGCGACTGCGACGCTGAGCAGGGCGATGATGTTGCAGACGCGGAGGACCTGGAGGATCCACCAGGCCGGGCCCAAGAAGCGGCCATTCTCAGTCATGTTGATCATTTTGTCGCTTTAGTAGTAAGAGGTGCTTGAATACAAGCTAGCAAACTGTTAGCCGGGAAGGAATCGAGACGATGATCTGGGAATGGTGGCACGTACAGAATGTTGTGATAAATACTGCCGGCAGTAGGGAGTCAGTGAGTGACGGTGATGCTGGGAATGGTTGTTCGGATTCTGTCTCGCAGATTCGAGAAGTAAGAAGAGAATTGATATGAAGATCGAATCTTGGAGGCTCGAGACTGAGGAGGGTCGTCGCCGGGTGGATAAGTTTTATGAAGAGGCTGCGTCGAGCAGTTCTATTGTAGTGGAAGAACAATGTAGCGACAGTATGAATGGATATCGAGCATTGTCGACGGCAGGTAAGCCGATCTACGGTTTGTCTGGTCAATAGGACAATAGCAGATGAACAGGAAAAGCGGGCGTGCCGTCTTTAATAGAGACTAAAGAGCCCGTCCTATTGTGCTCTGAGAGAGTCACCCCCGCAGCATTTGATAGAAGAAAAAAGACAGGATTTACGCGGGACAGCAGGAAGCAGGAACCACGAGCAGTAGTAGTCATAGTCTTCTTTCCTGCACCTGCAAGGGTGGCCGGAAGCTCCTTTCATTGAAACAAACGCCGTGCTGTCCAATGGATTGGTCGTCAAGCATTGTTCTAGCTGCGGGAAGAACGGGTGTTCTGGAGCGATCCCAGGCGCCAGGGTGAAGTTGGTTTCATGCAAACAGCGAACATGCATCTTAGCTCTGGCAATCCCCTCGTGTCACGTACCAGCGCCCCCAGCAACGCTGGCAGAGGATGGGCCCAGATCGACCATCAGCCAGCTTGACGCGCTCCCGCGTCCGCGGGGGTTGTATGGGACGTTGTCGGGATGCGTGCAAGTGCCATGTAGATGCAGATGGGGGGTCGAGTTCTGGGCCGGGTAGACTCATCGCTGAGGCAGCGTGGTACGGGCAGCAAGCAGCGATACCCAACCGCTTCGCGTCTGTCGACAGGTTCCCACATCGAGGAGGCGACGTGCACATGCAGGAGTGTGTCCTGTTGTGCCCGTGTCTAGCTTGGCGGCTGAGGCAGCCAGGGGGGCGAACTCCCAGACTCCAGAGCATTGCATGATTGCCGTCGAGAGGAGGCGCCTGGATAGGCTCACGAACTCCGGCGTCCCCTGCTGGGGACGGCAAATACGGGGTGGTCCAGAAGTTTGTATCGACTGCAAGGGTACCAACGAACTGGAAGACCCGATCAATTCAGTGGGGAAGTCTTGAAGATCGCGAAGCAGGGAACAGAGCGCGTCCTCAGACAGGCTCGCGAATGGGCATCGATTGGATGGCAGAGCCTCCCGACTGTTTCAAGTGGATCTAGTGCCCGGCGTCAAGCGTGGACATGGGCCATGCACATCCCGAGCCTGACTTGATAAGGACATAGCATAGTTCTACTGTAGCACGAGAATCGTCCGAAGAAAACAGTCATCTGCAAATGTGCCTTGCGAGGCATTTGCGTGGCACCGCTTTGGACACTCTCTGCGCTGCGTTGCATTGTTCTGTGCGCTCGTCTTCCCCGATTCTCTAATTTATCGAGTGTCCAAGCCGAATGCGTCGTCTGTCGGGAAGCACGGATGCAAGCCGGCCATGCCATCAAGCACCTCAGACGGAGCTTCGACTCGAGACGACACGCATCACACGCAGCTCGACAAATTGCCGTTTCAATCAACGTGTCAATAGTCATATAATTCAATGCTCCCACCGAATTCCTGGAGAAGGAAGCCTTACCAACACACCACAAGGCATAGTCTCAACATCTCCCGTTTTCCCATCCAATATTGCATTGCAACCCACACTCGCCCGCTCACAGCCACGGTCGCTTGAGAAGCGGTCTTGGGCCGATGCGACCGATATTGACAGCCAGATTATGATCTAGAAATGATGGAATCCTGCTTCGGGGCTGATCTGAGACAAACTCTGGCCCAGGAAGTCACAAGACCCGGGCGCTTGTCTGACTTGTCGCGCAAGGCCCTTGCTCGACAGTGCTTGTTCTTAAACAGGTTCCCCGGCGCTTGCGCTTCGATTCATCGTGCAACCACACACGCACCGCAAGATGAGAAGAAGTACCGAAGCGCGCTGTGGTCTCGCCATGCAGAATGAGACAGTCTCTTCCCCACAACACAGCCTTGTGTTTGACTGACCCAAGTCACGCGCTGTTGGTATCTTGGAGATGGGGACACGGTGTGATTTGTGTTCACACCTCTAAGGTAACATGGCCGCCAGCAGTTTCGATACTTGAGCATAACCCCAATGAATCCGCTGTCACGGTCAGCGTAGCTGAGATAAGACCTGCTCTGCAGGGCAGTGTTGTCGAGTCCTGGTGTTGACTGCTGGCAGTTCAAGATCACGCTGGTTTGGTTCGCAGCAGTTCCATATTTACCCCGGACGGCAGAGACAGGTTGGCGTTGTACCCACCACTCACAGCCGTCCCCAGATACTGTAAACTCAGTCTGTCAGTCAATTTACCGCAAAATGAAGTTGATTTGAAAATGATGCTTTGTGCCACTTCACCCGAATGAGTCCATGACTGGACCGCACCCAACATCCAAGGAGGCAGTGACACAGTCCAAAGCAGAAAGTGCTTACTCCCAAAATAGTCCAATGCGGCCTAGCGCGGGTGCCCATGCGGTGGAGACACAGCCTCGCTTTCCCTCTTGTTCTAGGCCTCCTTCCGACAGCTGACACGGGGGTTCCCCATTACAGAACCGACGAGAATCTCTTTTGTCTGCCCAACGCAATCTCTCTCGCCATCACACTCCAACATCACACACAGGATTTCCCGAGATCGAGACCTCAGCCCCTCCAAAGCAGCAGCCATGGCCCGTGGAAACCAGCGCGACAAAGCCCGCGAGGCCAACCAGAAGAAGATGGCCGCACAAGTAAGCACGCCCGCCTGCCGCCCAATCCCCATGCTTTTTGCGGCCTCATTCACGGGCCCTCCCCTTTTGGCGCCCAGCGGGCTGGTCCATGAGCAGGCCCAGCTCCCGCCCCGCGCGGCTGCCCGTTCTTGCCGCCAGAAGGAAATGAAAGGAAGCCCATTGTGCAAGCCTTGCTAACCCGTTGGGCCGTTGCCTCTCCGCAGAAATCCAAGAATACCAAGACCGGCAGCGAGATGCAGCGCGACAAGGACCAGGTCGCCGCCATGATGCGCGAGAAGCAGAAGGCTGGTAGGCATCACCCGTCTTTCCCTCCCATCCCCAAAGGACAGCCGGCTGCGGCTTTGATGATGGTGGTGATGGTTAGGTGTATACGCCCGGATTATGACTGACCCTTGTGTGTGTGTGTAGCCGACGAGCGCAGGGCTGCCGAGGCAGCAGGCAAGAAATAGACGCGCTTTTCCCCCTACTCGACATCTCGACGAATGATCTCGATGAAGGCCTTTCCCACGCGGGCAAAGACGGTCAGAGCGGCAAGGGAGCGAGGTGGTCCTCATCCTTCTCAGGATGGGAAGGACCCCTCGGGGTGTATTCTGCTTTTCAGCATGGAGCAATGGAATGGGATTGGGAAGAACACATTTAAACACTGGCGACCCCGGGCCATTCGCCGCGGACAGGGTGCATGGTCGGCACAGCTGGGGCTGCGAAGGAGAGGGCTGTTGTAGAGTTGTAGTCCTCTCTGGCAATATACTTGCGTGCCCCCAGAAGCGTCTGTGGTACCCTCGAGGCGAGCCGTCTACGATCTGTCGCGTGTTACAAAGGCAAGCGATGAAGGAAGGCGAGTGCTCTCCTCAGCTTGGGCAACACAAAAGAGGCGTCGAAGCAGCAACAAAACCCTCCCACACCGGATCATTGAATTGGTATTCATCTGATCGGGGTGTCTGATCAGGGATCAAATGACGCACGCGATGCTGTTCGTATAGTCATCTGAGCAGGGCTGATATGGACGATAGATGACATCTTCAAGTGGCATCAAGCAGTGCCTGCCAGTGCAGCCGCTCACATTCCACCTCCTTATGTCGAGATGGTTCAAGAAGACAAGCCAGGAGCTCACGAGCATGCGCTGGAGAGGACGTCATGTCCAGAATTCCACAAGCGAAAACACCAAGGCCATATCATGTCTAACAAAACAGCCGGGACAATTCTCTTCGCACAGAAGAAGAGTCAGACGAGCGACGAAGGAAGGCGAGTGCTTTCTTTAGCTTGGGCAGTGCTGAAGAGGACGTCGTGCACAGAGACATACACACCATCGAGTGCAGCCGGGCTCGGCCACATTGTGATCAATAAAGCAGCCGGGGAAGGCTATCCGCAGAGAGAGAGAGGGAAAAGGACCAATTTGAGCCGACACTCGGTCATGCGGCAATCCATATACTGCGGCACGGATGCGGGTATGCCCACGACATTTCAACTGGTCACCCATCATCATCATTATCATCACACCGAACACCGGCACGACACCAAGCCGGCACCCAACGGCGAACAACAGCAATGCTCGATGTCATCAGATCTTTCCCACCACAATGCCATTGCACACCGGATGCATGTCCTCAAGAAGCGGTTCCGCACACCGGCTCAAAGCGTTCGCGTGAAGACATCCTTTTAAGCTTTAAAAGCTTCGCTGGATTTCTTTCTCTCTTGTGTCTCTCGGCACCGGGCGCGCCCGGGAACGCCCAAGTGGGCCATTTCCTTTTCCCCCCGTTTCAAGATGTTTCTGGCCGGAAGACCAAGCTCCCGTTCCCGCAGTGGGCTTGGCAGCTACCACGGATGAATCATGGACGAAAAGAACCCACAGATGACGGAAGGAAATGCAATTGGAAGCACCCTAAAGCCCAAGGCAAGAATTTGGTAAGAGGCCAGCTAGTCACGAAGAGGGTTTCTAGGTTGTTTTGCTCCAGGTTTGGTCAAGTCTATTGATGCTGGAAACCGGGGACGCGCCGCGCAACTAGGTGGCAGATGCTTCGCGATGGTTTTCTGTGGGTATTTCGAGTATTTTTTCTTTCTTCCAATGAGCCCAAACACAAAAAGAAGAAAGACGAGTAAAAGAGAAAAGGTTGTACTATTAAGATATCCATCCAGGATACAAGCCAGTCATATACAACCTCCCCCGCCGCCCCTGTTTATAATAGAGTAAAAAGGTGGGAGGAAATCTAGCCTCCTCTACCGGCGGGTTGCTGCTAGAAAGGGGTTCTACAGTTTCGTTTCAAATCATCATAAGAGAAAAATGTCCGACATCCGGGTCGTCCGCACCCTTCATCAACCGAAAAGAACCTTGCTCCCTTAGCCGTTCATCGTGACCTCCGTCATGTTTGCTGGAAGTGCGCCTGAGAGAATGAATGTTAGTGAACCTGTGCTAAAAGAGGTCGTATGCTGTGGGAATGTATCTTACCAGGCAGACCACCGAAAGCACCGAGACCTTGGGCCTGGGCGGCAGGGAAGGAGCCGACGGAGCAGGACACAGCGCAGACGCAAGCACCGTTCTGGATCGTGCCCTGGCCCATGGTGGGAGTCGTAGCGGAACCACCAGCAGCAGCACCAGCGGAACCACCCTCGGCGGGAGCAGCAGCAGCACCGCCACCGGTCGCGTTTGGTGGAGCAGCGCTGTTGGCCGGTGGGGCCGAGCCGCCGGTGATGGGGGTGGCAGCTCCAGTACCGTTCTGGGCAATGGCCATAGACTGGAACATGGCCTGGGTCTTAGCGGCGGTGGGGTTGATGGAGAAGGTCATGCCCTTTCCGCAGTGGCCCTTTTGCTTGCAGTAGAACCCTGGATGACTTCATTAGCATCTGTGTGTAGGCAGCTCGTATATACATCTGTTATGACTTACAGAGAGGAGTGTCAACCATGACTTGCATGGCAACCTGCGGTGGTGGGTTGACCGAGTTGTTGGCGTTGGGCTGGAAGCCCGAGTCCATACCACCGGCGAGGGCCTCGCATGGCGTGGCGAATGCGGACTGGGTAGCAGTGTGGTTGGCGCTCATGAAGGTGAAGACGACCATGTCGCCAACGGCAGCCTTGATCTCAGACGGCGTGAACTGCAGGCCCGCGGCTCCACCGACCACGACCTCGTGCGTTTGCGCGGTAGCCGGGGCGGCCATGGGGGGAGGGTTGACGTTCATCGTCGGTGCTCCGGCACCCTGGTTGACCCAGATGATGATGACCTCGGTGGCGGCGTTGGCGGTGATGCCCGCGCCGGAAAGACCCAACGTGATCAGCTGGGCCTGAGAAGCCGAGATCTGCTGTCCGGGGCCGGACATGCTGGCGAGTGCCTGTCCTGCCTGTGCCTGACCCTCACCTCCTTGGCTCTTCTCTGATTGCTTGTCTTCTGATTTCCGGGGGAACAGGTCGGCGTCTCTCTTCGCTGGGTAGACGTTGTGGACGGCCTTGGCCAGTGCCAGAGGGGCGGCAAGAGCCGCCAAAGCTGCGGAGAACTTCATTTTTGGATTGTTGGGTTGTTGAGGATTAGATTTGACTTTGTCGATACCTGGCGAAGGGTATCTTTGAACAAGACTCGCTTGTAAACTTCCAGAGTCGGCTTGGACGTATGATGATATGAATATTGAAACGGTAGGACTGTAATATGGCGAGTTCCTGCTCGTGAGAATGAATGACCGGGTATAGAATAGAAAATGAGCGTGTACTCGAAATCTACACGAGCCAGCAACAGTTCGACGAGTATAGAGATGGGGGAAGAAAGAAAGAAACAAACACGACGAAGGTTTGGGGAAGGAGGGAAAGAGCTTATATCAAAGCATGGTGGACCAGGAATAGTCATAGGTCATGCAAGCGACCCTCCTTCTCCCCTCAATGGACGGCCACGACGACACGGGCACACGGCACAGTCTTGGGAGGAGGACAGGATGATGTCGCTGGGCATCCTGGGCACAGGAGACCATCTCGAAACAGGACCAGCAAATCATCCGTACATGGATCAACCGCCGGGCACGACTGGGTCCGACCAGAGCAGGCCAGGGTAGTTGCTGCGAGGCTAGGCGGAAGCTCCAAAGCCTCGTCTCGTCGGTCGTCTGGATGGGATGGATGTGCGTGGGTAGTAGGTGGGTTGGGTCGGTACGTTGGTACGTTGGTACTGGGGTACGTGGGTACGTGGGCACGTTGGTTAGGCAAAGTTGGGAACGTAGATACGATGCTGTAACCAAACAGGGCTACAACGGCCAGGACTCGTGGGGCCCAGGACCAGTTGAGACGCGGCTCGCAGTTGCCATCCCAACCTAAAGCAAGATACGCTTAAGTTGCGGCCCCTGCTTGGGACCAGAGGGCTAGGCTTGGCTGGGCTGGTACCAAGCATCACCCAGCTTGACGCAGCATGCAAGAGTAGGCTCTGCGGGCAATGATGAGACAACCCAGACAAGCCATGATGGAGCCGGGGCCGGCGAAGTGGGCTTGGTACTCGGGGTGCTTGGGGTGCTGCTTAAGGGTTTGCTTGGGGGGGTTCGAGGTGCCTCGCAGGGGTCCCCAAGTGGCTGGCTTGGTAGCACCCCCTGCCACCCCCCAGCGTGCAGGAGTCGGGCTGTGACAGATCCGTCTCGCATCGTGTTTGGCATTTCGCCACCAGCACACTGAGAGCGCCAATCGCCTGGGCGCTAACAACAGCTCCGTGGTTGTGCGTTCGTCAAAGATTCCCTGTACGAACCAAGCTCTTTCGGTCATTCACTCACTCTCACTCGCTCTCTCTCACACACACACTATCCGAAGAACCCTCTGGGTGGCTTGGACGAGCAGCTGGTAGATCAGCAAAATTAGAGACCCAGATTGGGTTCGTTCATTCCATTTCATTTTCGTTCCATTTGATATCATGGTAGCAGCCGTCGTCCGAGGTATTTGGGACCAACAATCAAAAGACAAGTTCGGTCTGCCGTGGGATTAATCACACTTGCGGCTCCTCCAAATAACGTTTAGAGTTCCCGCATTAGCCTCACCAAGCCTAAAACCGCCGACATGACAGGCTGCTCCCTCAGCCGCTGCACCTGATTAGACAGGCCCGTTAGATTACTGGCGGGCGCCTGCAGCTTGCTTGCTGCAAGGCACGTTGCGGGTGGGGCTATCTTTAGCAAGGGGATCTCCTCCTTCCGCGGTGCTTCGCTGCCACGGCACAGCTTGTCCATCTGGGCAGTATTGGAATTATCTCTCGGCATCTCTTGGCCCCGTGGAGGCTGAGTTGGCTGTCTGTCTCTGCCTCCGTTTCTGTTTCCTATCTCTTGTCACTTGTCTCTTGTTGGCCCCCCTTCTCACTCTCCCAAGCACCTCCCATAGGCGGCACAGGTGGGAGGCCTTCGAGTTGGCCACTCACAGCCTGTGCCGAGGCCATCCTCAAACGTCCGAATCCAAGGGGTGGCCCAGACCAGACGACAACGGGCAGGCTTCGTCTGGTCTCAACTGTGGAGCAACTCATGTACCGCACGCCCTAACAACCCCTCCCTCTTTTCCTCGCATCGCCTCGCTACCACATCTTGTACATGCTCCTCGTCCAGAGTTGATCCCAAGGCTCTGACGACGAGATAAGGTGTGCCTCTGAGGAGGAGTGGAGACGGGCACGCCTGCAGCCCTGCCCACAACTCTGTAACGATGCAGGTTGCCGGTCACTGTGGTCGAGGGCCCCATTGTTCGCACTGCGACGCACCGGAGAATTTATTCAGCAGGCCCCACCTTTCGACGTTTAGTCCAAACTGCCGTCATGATGCACATCCCATCCACTCTCCCGTTGATGCTTGCCCACGCAGACAGGCAGACCGATAGAGACAAGATAGACAGATCGTTCTCGGAGACGGGCCTGACAGGTCATCAAAATTTGATATTCGAGCCCGTCGGCCCCCCGGTCGGAAACGGATGGGGCGACGATCCGTCCGCGGGGAGAAACATGGGACGTTTACGTGAAGTCATAATCATCAGATTTCGGGGGCACGCTAGCATGCCTGCTTGAGATCTTTACCAGGCTATACTGCACGGGGAACCAGACTGCCAGATAAGGACCGGTAGATCAGTCCTGATCGCACATTTTCGGAAGCCGTTCGTCATGTACATGTATCCAGGCCATGGAAGAAACCCAGTGTCAAGCGGCCTAGAGTATGGCTGGTTTCGTATCTTGTCATGGCCAAGTACTCCTTGAAATGAGGAGGACAGCACAATGTCACGCCACCGTCCGAATCGTTCAAGCCTCATATCCCTAGCCTAGAAATTGAGTTGAACGTCTGTTCTTAGTCTGTCCGAATTTCTGCATGGAATTAGGCCAATGACTTTTTTTCAGTTTCGTTCTCCGTGGCTGCATGGTCCATGAACAGCTAGCTAGCCCTTTCTTGCAGCCGAGCTATCGGCGCAGCACGTCCCCCTGGGTGCTGCAACGCGAGCCGTTACAGACACCCCGTCCTGAAGGTCGATCAGGGGAGGTTTGGATTAAGGGCCCCCCCTAGCCTTGCGCCGCCTTACTCAGAGTATTATATCCCAAGACTTACCAAATTCCGAACTCCCGGCGGAGTGTGAACTTTTTTTTTTGTTTCCCTATCCTGACTATGCCACGGCTTGGTCGTGCCCCGCGTCACTCTCTTGCCGGCTTGCATCCGAGGCTCAGCCTCCCGTAGCAACATGCTTCCGCGCAGCTTCCCAAGCGGTGATACGATGCCATGATGCGCGATGCTCGGCTTGGTATGGCGATCCCGGCCGGGGATTGACGCTGCCTGCCTGTCTATTGCTGGTCCTGGCGGGCTTGTTTGCCCTCATACAAGCCCGTGTAGTATCCCGCGTAATACCAAGACATGAGAAGCCTCTTCAGGCCTTCATCTTGCACTGGTCGATTTCCGATAGTCAGTCCTGACAATCTCGGGGCCGGGTGTTGCGAAACGGGGTCAACGGTGAAAAAAAAGAGAATGGACTTTCTGTCCCTGCAACATACCAGCGCCCAGTAGAACCTGCGGGGGGGCCATGTTTCCTCCCGCGCTGTCCTGGCCATGACTCTCGCCGGCGTGCCTGTCACCACTGCCGGCGCCGCTGGCCACGCCATCGTTCATGCCATCCTATGTTCGGCGGCCGTGATAGGCCAAGCGTCAGTAATCTGGATCACCAGATGGGACGCGGAGGGCTTCAGATGCCAAGCTTTTGTGATCTGCTGGGATTGCCTCTGGGGTAAGGGAAATCACCAGTCAGGAAGGGGATTGGCGTGTCTCTCTGCAGGTTTCCATCATGCGATGGCTGGCTTACCTTGGTCGCATTACCATTACCTGTGCTTCCCGTGGTGATCTGTTCGTGGGAGTCCCGCGCCGGCTGATTCGAGGGTGTATTTTGGTCCGAAGTCACTGCAGCCGACGTCCAGACGGGCTCGGACTGGTGGTGTGTGTCGCTCGTTTCAGGCTTGGCATCCTGAGAATACCTGCGACGACGGTTGAGCTGAACAAGTTCAGGATGGCAGGAGAAAGTTCGGACCGGTCTGAATGGTCCCTGGGCTGCGTGTCGCACATACTCGGGAAGGTCCTCTAGCTTTCCTCCGCTTGCGTGGATGCTGTGGTATTTCTGCGCTTGCCAGTCAATCTCAGCTCTCAGGATGTTCGGTCGGGAGTGGCCTTTCGCGGAGTTGTCTGATATCTGCCTGCGCGCGCACACGCACACGCACACGCACACGCACGCACATACTCACACACGTGTGTACGTACCTTGTACTCGTCCAAAGCCTCATCCCAGGACCTGATCAGGGCGGAGTCGTCCCAAATGTCATCATGTGCCATCTCATCTGTTGGCCCTTCCATCTCGCAGGTGTCCAGGGCGGCCGTTCGCGACGTTGTGGGTGGACGAACGGGCGGCCTGATGGCTTGTGTTCGGGTTGCCGATTGAAATTTAGGAGGCGTCTGAGCTTTTCAGGCAACTGCCGCTGCAGTTTCATGGAAGCAACAGCCAGATCCGTCCAGTTCAAACAACTCAATCAAACACGCTGCATTCGCTGGTTCTCCAGTCAATCATCAGCTACTATCATCAGCATTGGTTCAGCTCGTGAGCATTGTCGAGACTTGTCCTGGTGCATTGGACTCTGAGCACGTGTGCTCATCCCGCAGTTGGACCTTTTGCAGCATTGTGCACTCAGATCAGCCACGCCGTGTCTTTCGGTGAGAATAACTTTGCACTCATGCACTGTTTAATTTTCTATTTTCTATTTCTTTTTCTAATCTGAACTCACTTGACTTGGACCTTTCGAAAACCCAAAAGAGTTGCTGAAAACTTGACAGATAGGACGGTGATGTGACCCGACCCAATCCATTGACCGACCACCTCACGCCGTTACGCCAGTCGGACACGAAGACCAGGTTTACATGAGACTGTTACGGCTGTCGCCGATGTTGGGCACCGATGACAGAAACATCTAGACCTTCAGACGCCGGCTTGCAGTGCAATCACAGTTTAGGGCTCGAGTCTATCGGAACTTTGTTGCCGGGGAAGGCGGACTTCAGGTCCTAAACAGGAACCGTGGAGCCAAAATCCTCGGTGAGCCATCCCGTAACCTCTCCGGACGGAGTAGCGAGTGGACGGCAAGCCTCCCAGCCAACAACTCCATGTCGGCTGTCAGCCTCTGCGACAGAGTGCCAGTGGTTTGCAGCTTGCAGGTATCACGGCCGTTGGTATGCAGGGTAGGATCACCTTCGGCGGAAACATAGCCTGTGTTCTCAAGTGACAATGTACGACACCAAGAGATACAAACCCTATCTCTTGGGAGCCGGTCTCCGTATAGCCTCGAGTGCCAGCGTGCAGCTCCTCTAGGATCCCTGCAAGCTGTACTACACAAACAGTCGGCCACCACCGGACGACAGTCACCCCCGTGATGCCTCAACGCGGGGCGTCCTGAAGAGCATCTCGGAATGTGCGGATCACGCACAGAGCGAGGCGGCGGACAGATGGCCGGTCTGCCCATGGGGTGATGCCCCAACTCTTGGACCGCAGCGGCCGAGGCGCAGATCAGCATGCTTCTCCGCGCTTCCTTTTCGCTAAGAGGTCGAGGATGCCGCCTCGTCGCTCGGCACGAGGTTCGTCCCTTACACGATAGAACCGTCCAGAGCAAGAGAGTCCGGCGGCCAGACCATGACGGAGCGCAGCGCAGCGAGCACCCGACCCATCGTCCGAGAAGGACGTGGCGGGAGAAGCGACCAGAAGGCTCGTGATGCTCTCAGTCAGTCTGCAGATGTGGGTTGGGCCATGCACCGGTCCAGAACCATCTTATTCCCGACTGACAGGACCCCAAACACCAATGGCCACCGGCGTCGATGCGTGTAGGTGGGGTAAGGGAAGGGGCGAACGCAGGCACTCTGCGGTTGGGTTCTTCTAGAATAGCTCCATCTCAGCTGGGGATGTGGGGAAGCTTCCCCGGAACCTTGCCTCCTCACGCTCCTGAAGGCGCCCCTCTCCCCCAACGTCATCCCATCGCATCGCTTGCCTGCGGCCGCCGACAGGTGAGGGTGGCAGCACTGCGTGCTGCGTGGTAGCAGCCCGAGGCGAGGAGCTTGGCCAAATAGGATTTAGGAGCCTTGCCAGCTTGTTGAGGAGCGAGCCGCAAAAAGCAATCAAACTCTCCCTTTGCTTCTGATGACTACTGCTTCAGTGAATCACATAGCTCCTTGGTATTGTTGATCCCCAAAGCCACACATCCTTGAGAGCTTGCGTGTTGGTGCCCGATACACATCATAATCTTTTACGCCGACCCTCCATAGCTCAAGTTGCACAGCAGGACGCACACAAGAGAAGCTCACTGCGTCTCGAACTTTGTCTCCGGGCAGGAGTCCGCCGTCCGATCTACAAATCAAGCCCAGAAGTATCGCAAGTGGCTTGGGACTCGCATCCTATTGAAAATGGCGTCCTTGTCAGACACCAACTTGCCCACAACTGAGGAGTTAGTAGTCAGCCCCGAGATTCGAAGCTTGCAACATCGTTATTACACAAGCTTGAGTAATTGAACCTTCACGGCGAAACAGTGACTGACACAAGTAACAACATGGACAGACGCCAAGCACACTACATCGGCATCGACGTCGGTACAGGCTCTGCTCGAGCTTGCATCATCGACTCCGAGGGGGAGATCAAGGGTCTGGCCGCTCAGGAGATCAAGTTGTGGCAGCCTGTCAGCGGCATTGAGGCGTCCCACTATGTGAGTGAAAACACGAGGCGTATGTGTCCTGCTAGCACCTACTGACGCTCCATCGCCGTGTAGGAGCAATCGACTACAGATATCTGGGATGCAATCTGCTACTGTGTGAAGAAAGTGGTCACAGACTCCCTGGTCAAGCCAGACAGTATCAAGGGCATCGGGTTCGATGCGACTTGCTCTCTAGCAGTCTTTACTCACGACACAGATGAGCCAGTGCCCGTGACTGGCCCGGATTTTTCAAACGATGGTAACGATCGCAACGTGATTCTCTGGCTCGACCACCGGCCGATCGATGAGACAGAGAAGATCAATGCCACCGGCCACAATCTTCTCCGCTACGTCGGCGGCACCATGAGTGTGGAGATGGAGATCCCGAAAGTGCTGTGGCTCAAGAACCACATGCCTCCCGAACTATTCGACCGTTGCAAGTTCTACGATCTCGCGGACGCCTTGACGCACTTGGCGACTGGCAAAGACACCAGGAGCTTTTGCAGCACCGTTTGCAAGCAGGGCTTCGTGCCTGTGGGTGTAGACGGCAGTGTCAAGGGCTGGCAAGTAGACTTTTACCACTCCATCGGTTTGGGCGACTTGGTGAAAGACAACTTCAAGCGCATGGGAGGAGTTGACGGGGTGGTGAGCCCCTTTTCTTTGAACCCCTGTATCACTGCTTGATGCAGAAAGGCCGAGACTGACCAGCAACCCGCAGAACGGCACATACACAAGCGCTGGAGAGCTTGTTGGGCCACTGTCCGAGAAAGCTGCGAAGCAGCTGGGCCTGCCCGCCGGCATTGCCGTAGGCAGTGGCGTTATTGACGCGTACGCCGGATGGATCGGAACCGTAGGCGCCAAGGTCAAGCTCGGTCCGGACCACCTTGATGAAGATCACGCCAAGAACGATGTGAGCCAGGCCTTCACTCGGCTCGCTGCCGTGGCGGGAACCTCCACTTGCCACCTCGCCATGTCCAAGGACGCTGTCTTCGTCCCTGGCGTTTGGGGGCCGTATCGAGATGTGCTGATCCCAGGCCACTGGATGGCGGAGGGCGGGCAGTCGGCGACGGGCGAGCTGCTAAAGTACATGCTTGAGACGCACCCGGCGTATGCCGAGACATTTGCCAGTGCTAAGGCATTGGGCAAGAACATTTACGAGTTCCTAAACGACCACCTGCATGAGCTGAACGAACAGACCGGCTCCCCGTTCATGGGCTACCTAACTCGGCACTACTTCTTCTACGGCGACCTTTGGGGCAACCGGTCGCCCATCGCAGATCCCAACATGAGGGGCGCGGTGATCGGCATGAGCAGCGACAAGACGCAGGACGGGCTCGGGCTGCTGTACTACTCGGTGATGGAGTTCATCGCGCTGCAGACGCGGCAGATCATCGAGAAGATGAATGAGTCCGGGCACACGATCCTCAGCATCTTCATGTCAGGCAGCCAGTGCCAGAACGACATCCTGATGGACCTCATCGCCACGGCGTGCGACATGCCCGTCCTGGTGCCCAAGTACGTCAACGCGGCGGTCGTGCACGGGGCGGCGATGCTGGGGGCCAAGGCCGCCAGTGCGGGCGAGGACGGCCAGACGGAGCCTCTGTGGGACATCATGGATCGCATGAGCAAGCCGGGCAAGACGGTCCGTGCCGACCAGAACCCGGCTAAGAAGAAGCTGCTTGAGGCAAAGTATCAGGTGTTCCTGGAGCAGTGCCGGACTCAGCGGGAGTACAGGCAGAAAGTTGACGCAGCCCTCAAGGATGTCGTGAATGGGAACGGAAGTGTCAACGGGAAATAAAAGCAGAATAAACGGTCGGGAGTGTCGTGGGGTGAGACAAACAGAATTGTACGACGTGCTTGTGTGTATGATCAGGATTTGCTAGCTAAAACTGGCTCAAAGTATTAAACGGATAATGGAAGCCAGGGAGGGGGTGTTGGTGGTCGTGGAAAATAAGAGGACAAGGCTGGCGTTATTGAGGTCTAGCTAGGTATCAATGAAGAACAATCAATTGAATGTTGAGACTGATGGATATGAATAATTCTTGAACACTGATTGATTGATCTTTGAGGGAGGCATGTGAGCGTGCACCATGTTTCATTGGCATGGAGCTCGCTTGGCACCTGCACTCGAATTGTGAGGGTCTCTCAGCAATTGCCGGCCGGGTGGGCAGCAGCCACTGACTGCCCCAGGTGCATCTTCCCCAGGCCTGCAGCAACCCCAAAGCATGGTAAACAAAAAAAGTTGCTAAGAGGGTCGCCAACCTGACTCCTCCCAACGCGTGCAGTCGACGTGTCTTCCCGTCTCGTCTTGCTCCTGTTCCTTTGCAGACCGTCACTGCACGTTACTGCAGCTATCATGTCTCTATTCAGCAATCTGAACACGGGGGCCACGAGCCAGCCGGCCTCAAATGCTGGGGGTGGCCTGTTCAGCTCGTTGAACACCACCGCGAACGCCTCCAACACCAACACCGCCAACACCAGCAACCAGACTGCCGCTCCAGGGGCCAGCATTTTTGGATCTGGGTCGACATTGTTCCCTTCGACGACCAGCCAAACTACGCAATCGTCAAACCTGTTTGCTTCGACAAATCAACCGCCCGCTACCACCGCCGGCGGCGGTCTCTTCGGCGGGTTGAACACCACGAATACGACGACCGCGCCCCAGACCAACAACCTCTTCGCAAACTCTGGCAAGCCCAGTTTATTCAACACAACCTCAAATAACGCGCCTGCGGCTCAGGCACAACCCGATGCGTCCAACAGCCTTGGCAAGAGCCTGTTTGGCTCCACCATCAACACTCAGACAGCCAACTCCAACGGCCTCCAGCATCAGGCCGCCCCGACCGGTGCATTCTTCGACAGCCTGCTAGCGAAGAACAAGAGGGCCCATGTTGACGACAATGCAGCCATGGAAGACCTGCCCAGTCTGCAGCTCGGCCTGGGCGACCTGCGGCAGCGCCTGCGCAAGCTCGGTCCCAAGGCGTCCCCCACCGACCGCCAGCTCGACGGCCGGGCACACTACCTGCTTGCTGCCTCCGGCGTCGACCCCGGCAGCGCGGTGCGTGACCTCGGCTCCCTAGGCTTCCAGACCTCGAGGCTCGATCGGTCCACCTACGGCACGGCGCAGGGCGAGGTGGATGTCGAGACATATCTCTCGAACCTACAGAACAAGACTACACTCAGCATGATTGCGGACGGGCTGGAGAAGTCTGTCAGGGACTTCGACGCGTTCTTGGAGGACAATGTCACCATGGAGTGGGAGGCGCAACGGAGACGGATCTACGAGCACTTTGGTATCAAGTCGAAACAGACTCCAGGTGGTGGGGTGGGGGCGTCGCCAGGCAGGGAGTCCCGGGGTGGGTTTGGCAAGTCACGACGGAAGGGCGTGCTGTCGTCTGGCCCGGATAAGTCAACAACAAGAGAAAGCGCGTTTGGACGATCTGGTCTTGGAAGGTCTGTCATCGGAACACCTAGCAAAATTGGCGCCCATTCCTCTGAATTCTCCGACGTGGGCGGCGCTGGGGCTGGCAGTGGCCCGAACGGATCGGCTGGCATTGACGACCGCTTTTTGCGAGAGAAGCAGCTCAAGCTGGCGGAGAAGATCCACCAACTGAACGACGCTCGTCAGCAAGCGCAAGCCGTAGCATACCCGATCCTCAACGAGCTCGCAGAGGTTGAGACGAAAGCAGGCGACCGGCATGGTGAGCATCTCGTGGATGCGTACCGTGCTATGGTTCTCATCGTCGGCGAGAACCCTGATGCAGACTCTCCCGGCGCGGATGCCACAGCCAGCGAGAGACAGTTCTCCAGCGTCTATCTCAGCTCCGAGTCAAATTCACAGGGAGCGATTTCTCTACGCAAGCGAATTCTGGCCGGCGCCAATAAGTTCCTCGAGAAGAAGTTCATGGACCAGATCGAGCAGCAGATTGCCAAGAACCCTCTCAATGCTCAGCTAGGTGGCAGACCGGACGTCGTCAGCAAAACCAAGGCCTATGTGCGCCTTTTGGCCCAGGGCAAGCATCTTGCTCCTGACAATACAGACCTTCAGTCGATCAGGCGGGAAGGCCAGGATGAGTATGTCTGGGCGGTCATATTCTATCTGCTCCGATCTGGACATGTGAACGAAGCCGCGAAGTATGTCATCGAGAACCAGAACCACTTCAAGAGCATCGACCGATCATTCCCTGCATTCATGAGCGAATACGCTACGAGCGAAGACCGGCGTCTTAAGAGGCAGCTTCAGGACCGGTGCAACACGGAATTCAGCCAGCGCATCCGCAATGCGCCCGACAACTCGGTCGATCCCTACCGCGCAGCCTGCTACAAGATCATTGGCCGCTGCGATCTGAGCAACCGAAGCTTCGAGGGCTTCACCGCAGATGTTTACGACTGGATGTGGCTGCAATTCAACCTCGCCCGCGAGGGCGACCGCTCGGTGGAGATCTGGGGGGAGACGTTCGGGCTGGCCGAGGTGCAAAACACCATCAAGGAGGTCGGCCTGAAGTACTTCCCCAAGAACAATGTGGATGATGCTAATGGCAACTTCGGCATGTTCTTCTTCATGCAGATCATGTCGGGGATGTTTGAGCAAGCCATCGCCTACTTGTACTCATTTTCGTACGTTGACGCGGTCCACTTTGCGATTGCACTAGAGTACTACGGTCTCCTACGGGCCTCAGACTCGATGACGGCCAACAACGACCTCCTCACACACAACACACGTGAGCGACCACAAATTAGCTTTGGACGGATGTTGGGCTTCTATACGCGCGACTTCCGGGCGGCCAACGTGGCTGCCGCGGTGGACTACATCATCCTGATTTGTCTAAATCTCGACGACCCCAACCAGGAAGCCGGCAGACAGCATGCGGAGCTGTGCCATGAGGCTCTTCGCGAGCTCGTGCTTGAGACGAGAGAGTTCAGCAAGCTGATTGGAGATATTCGACCGGACGGCCAGCGCATCCCAGGCATAATAGAGAGCCGCGGTTCCCTCATTGGACTGCCAGACGAGCGGGAATTTGTCAGGAGTATCACGCTGCAGGCTGGCCGCTTCGCGAATGATAATGGACGAACGACCGATGCTGTGCTGCTCTACCACCTAGCGGAGGACTACGACACGGTGGTGGCGATTGTCAGCCGAGCCCTTAGCGAAGCCATCTCGCTGGAGGTAGGTGGAGAGCCCCTACGCCTCCAGCCCGTCAAGCCACGCGTCGAGGGCGGGCGGCCGGATGCGCAGGTGAACAACAGCCTTAGCCTCGCGTCCATCGACGACCCTGTGGAGCTGGCCAAGACAATGATGCACATGTACGAGGGGGAGCGGTTCTTCCGGGAGAATATCCAGGAGGTGAACCGCATGGCGTGCAGTGTGTTGCTGCAGATGTCGGATATCAAGAGCCTCGTAGGGGCTGGCCAGTGGGTGCAGGCCCTGGACGTAAGTTGACAACCCCTTCCCCTTCCCCTGCTGGTGGAAGAAGTGAGGTGCGACAGGAACTAACAGAGTCACAACATGAACAGCAAATCAAGATGCTCGAGATCCTGCCTTTGGCGGCCAACGGCGACCCATCAACGATCCGGGCATACGCGGCCAAGTTCGCGAGCTTGCCGCAGGTGGTTGCGGCTAACGTGGGCAACCTGCTGATGTGGACGGTGATGTGCTGCACGCGGCAGCGGGAGAGGCTGGGCAGCGGGCAGTTCAGCGGCAACGAGAGCACGTCCAAGGACCTGCAGGTGCAGCTGAAGCAGATGAGCATCGACCTGACGGCGTACACCAGCCAGCTGCGGTACAGATTCCCGTCGCACCTGCTGGAGGCGCTGGCCAGGGCCTCGGCGGACTGAGGGAGGGGCACGGATGTGTACGATGAGATTGGGCTAGGTTGGGCATGAGCAAACGATAGACTACCTGCGTAGTTAAATGAGGATATAATGTGTATAATGTCCACAATAATGTCCACCACCTGATGAACACACACACACACACACACACACACACACATAGCCTGGCCAATCGGTGTCGAGGTCTACGTAGAGTGAGCCAGGCAATAGTCTATACCACCTCGCCTGTATACTGTCTTGCCCAGCTAGGTACCTAATGCGAACCGAACGAAGGTCATCAGACGGGTGTTGGGCGATGATGAGTGATGGGCCTGGTGTGGTTAGATGATCGTGACGAATCTTGGAATCCCACCCTGCGGGCGACACACCACCAGGGACGGGACAGGGGACAGGGGACAGGGGGCCACACCAGCTCTGCCGAGCCGTCCTACCGTGCTGCAGCCGTGCTGCCCAGGGTCCAGTAGCAGCAGCTGCGTGCACTCTGTCACTATGGGTCCAGCCGCTTATCACTGCCGATATCAGGGCGAACGCCGAGAGCACCCAGCACGCGGCGAACAGCTCCTCTGGGCCAGTTTGAGCTCGAGCAGCAGGGATGGTAGCAGTAACGATGGTGACGGAAAACAGGAGAAACGGGTTTGAATTCGAAGCCAGACAAAGGGCCCCTGCCCTGGACCTGGACTGTGCTTTGCCGAGGGAGAGAGGGAGAGAGCGAGAGAGAGGAAAGAGCGAGACAAACGGTGGAAGAGGGAGAAACTAGAATGGCCAGACGGTCAAACTGAAAAATCACAAGTAAAAAAGCTTTTTTTTCTCTCTTCCCCCCTCGATCTGGACTGACTCGAATTGAGCATCCTCCTCCTCAACCCCCAAACACGCTCTGATTCATTCCACCCTCGCAAGCCACAACCAGCTCAGCACAGCACAGCTCAGCACAGCTCAGCATAGCACGTACGGTACTCGGAGGTCGTGCTGCATCGGAAATAATCTGCCCACCTGGACCTGCATCTGGTTTCTGACAGATCCGACAGTGTCCCTTCTGCCGTGGCCTGCCGTGCCCTGCCCTGCTGCTGTGCCACATGACACTGACGCGCCGAGCCTTGATCCGATCTGATCTGGTCTGATCTGATACGAGAGTCGGATAGACGGGAGCGCGAGAAGGAAAAAAGGAAAAAAGAAGGAAAAAAGCAGCATTCCCCAAAAAAAGGAACCACACATCTCATCCAGAAACGGAAACCCCCCAGCCCTACTAGTCAGCCGGGCGTGCTCGTCTGCGAGCTTGTCCCGTCTCGCCTACTCAATTCGACTCGACCCGACTCGACAGGTCGTCTTGCGGCTCAACTCGCTCCAACGACTCGGTTCGTTTTGACTCGAATAGACTCGGCTCACTCTGAGGCGACCCTCTTCCCCGGATCGCCTATCACGACGCGACTCAGGGCCTTCACCACAGACGCGTCGGCCCGTCTACGGATTTTTTATTCCTCTGGTGCAGGCCAGCATTCCTGACTCTGCCTGACTTAAGCCTTGACTGACTCTGACTTGAGTTTGAGCCCGAGTCTAGATCTGGATCCGGATCTGGATCGTGATAGTCGATCCGCCACGGCGATATCATCGTCGCCAGCAACACCACCACCCTCACACGGGGCACGTGGATGTTGCAGGGTCCCGGTGCCGTCGGACTGGGGCTCGGAGTTGGGACTGGACTTGAGACTGGGACTGGATTTGGGAGCGGAGCTGGAACCAACAACGCAGGATCCACACTCTTCCAGTTAACATCACTGTCACTATCACCATAACCGTCGGCATCGACATCAGGGAATGTCCAACAACTCGTCCATCACAGCTGCATCCCCGGCGGGAGGAACCCGTGGTAGCCATGCCCGCGCAAATAGCACACAAGGCGAGCCCCTTGCCGCCGGCGTGAAGAGGGAAAGGACCGTTGACGTTGCCAACACCTCGCCCGCTCAGTCGCCAAGCGCCTCGCAGCAGTCGACTCCTGCTCCGTCTTACGGCCATGGCAATGGCCCCGAAGCCAAGAAGCGCAAGTCGGCAGCGCCGGGCTCCCGGGGCGTGGCCAACCTCACGCCCGAGCAGCTTGCCAAGAAGCGTGCAAACGGTACGTTCAAGCCTTGCCTTGATTCTATGTGTCGGACTCTCGACATGCCTTCAAGCTGCCCGGCTGCTCTTGGCGTGTTTTACTTTGCATTACGTTGCGTTGCGTTGCGTTACTTTTCTTCTCGGTTTTTTTTTCTTCGTTTCTTTTCTCTGCAATGCAGTGTACAATTGTGCCCTGAGGTGGAGCTCACGTTGGCTGACGTCGAATCATAGACCGTGAAGCGCAGCGCGCTATAAGAGAGCGGACTAAGATGACAATTGAGAACCTCGAGAGCCGCATCCGGGAGCTGACCAGCCAACAGCCCTACCAGGAGCTTCAGGCTGCCTTGAGGGCTAAGGAGGCTGTCGAGGCGGAGAATGCAGACATCAAGAGGCGCCTGGCATCTGTCATCTCCATGATCCAGCCCCTGATTAACTCGTCGCCAAATGAGCAGCAACCAGTCCTGCCTTCCCCCGGCCATTCCTTCCTGAACGTGTCCGCGCCAACAGATGCAGCGCAAAACTCCGGTCAAAACAACATGTCGACGCCGTCGAGCGCTGCGTCGCCAACTCAGGACCCCTATGCGACACAGTGGAACTCGGGGGCGTCTACCAGCAGCGGGCCCGTGACAGCACAAACCCAGGCTTACAAGTCCCAGCTCAATCAGCAGCGCCACGACCTAGCACATGGCCTGGAATTCGGCACGGAACGTTTGGGCCTGGATTTTCTGCTTGACCAGTCCCAAAGGGCGAGAGGCATTCACAATGTGACCAATGGGACGGCGCACGAGTCCACTGCGTTTCGTCACCATGCTCCGCCGACAAGCTCCTCCCACCCCGACTCGCCCTTCCCGCACAATGGCACCCGCGGCGCAGACTTTGTAACCGCCCCAAGAAGCGGCGGCATGGACAGCAATATCGACCCGGCATTGCAAGGCGCAATCGATCCGGCCCTATCCAACTATTCCACACCAATCAAGAACTGCCCGCCCACCTGCCCTCTCGATAGTCTTCTCCTCGACTTCCTCCACGAGCGTCGTCAACGCGCTGCAGAGGGCCTACCCACGCAGGAGATCATTGGCCCTCGTTATCCCAGCGTCTCCTCGCTGCTCAATCCCATGAAGGATTCGCACCCGCTCTCCAAGGTCTTCATCGACATACTGCAGACATTCCCGGACATCTCGCAGCTCCCGGAGCGTGTCGCAGTTTTGTACGTCATGTTCCTCCTGATGCGGTGGCAGATTCACCCGTCGCAGGAGAACTACGAGCGGCTGCCCGACTTCATACGGCCCCTCCCCGGCCAGCTGTACACGCCGCACCCGGCCTGGCTGGACTCGCTACCGTTCCCGGCCATGCGCGAGCGGCTGATCACCGACTACGCGCCGCCCGAGGTGTTCCCCTTTGAGCACTTCTTCATCCCCTTCACCACCACCGTGAGCCTCAACTGGCCGTACGAGGACACCGACACCCTCCTGCAGAGCCCCGAGAGTGATGAGCTCATGATCAATCCCGTCTTCGAGAGGCACCTGCGCCGCCTCGAGAACTGGACCCTCGGCGACGCGTTCGCCCGAGCCTTCCCCAACCTCGAGGGCACGTACAACCTCAAGACCGACGGGGCCTGCGGCACCCGTGCCCGTGGCGGGCGCAACAGCTCGGAGGGGAGGTAGTGCCTCGGATTTGTCCTTGGGGTCCTGCACGCGAGGGACACTATTTTTGGTGGTAGGTCTTAGTGGTAAGAGGAGTGGCGTTGTGCAGATTCAAAAGTCCGTTTTGCATGTGATTTGTGTATGTGTGTGGTTGCGTGTGATTTTCCTTGCATCCTTTGTGTGGCTCAGGTTTCCAGGTGTTCGGGCGGGTCCATCGTCTTTCCCTGCTCGGTTTGCGGCATGTGTGGACGTTGTCTAAAGAGACTTTAGAGATGTCTTTCTTTTCTGCATAGATGGTGGTGCGCTTGCATGTGTGAGGTTCTATTTTGGGTACAAGGAGGGACTCGGTCGAGACCACAAGGCGGCACTGCATCTGCGTCTGCATATAGCAAATAAACAAACCGCGTAACGTGCCCGCGACAACAGCAGGCACGATGTTTTTTTTTTTTGGCATAGCGTGGACTCGATAGCATCAGAATTTCAATTCATAGACACGCACGCACGCTGGGGTATCTAAACGTGAAACCGTCTCCTTCCTGCCTGGTACCTTGCCGTCTGCTTCGTCTCGCGTTCAAGGGCCTCCACAGACTGTCCTTATCCTCCTGCTGCGCATAGACTTTCCGGGACATCCACCGCGCCCCCTTCACCACTCATCTTCCCCATCCTCAACACCAAATGTAAATTTCCTCACCACCGGCCCCACGCCAGCAAACAGGCTCGCCTCCCTCTCCCACGGCAGCCTCCGGAATTGCAGCGCCTGGACGACCCCGCCCGCGCCCACGGCACCCAGCGAGCCGTCAACGTCCCCGGCCCGCAGCCGCCGCCCCGTGCGCAGCGAGAAGACGCCCACGGTGCCGTCGCCCAGCCCCGCCGCCACGACGCCGCCGCTGCCCAGCCCTGCCGTGCCGCCTACATCGTGTGTTATATCCAGCCCGATCCGGACATGCGCCTCGTTCCTGTACCCGGCGAACTGGACGACCGGATGCGCCGCCGCCGCCGCGTTGTTGTTGCCGCCGCTGCCGCCGGGCCTCATCCTCGGCCCCGCCACCCATCGGCTGTCGTAGATGGCCATGGCGGACCTCGGCCCCGCGACGAGGACGCGGTGGTCGTCGATGCAGCGCACGTGCGCCGCGCTGCTGCGGTGCCGGAACCAGTCCCAGCCGCTGCCCGCCGAGGTCGAGAAGGGGGCGCGCGTGTCGATGCGGTGGACCCTGGCGTCGCGGCAGCCGGCGAAGCAGACGCGCGGGTTGGAGTGGTGGTAGTCGACGCTGAAGACGTCGCGGGGCGGGGGCCTGGTGCCGTGGTGGTGGTGTTGTTGTTGATGACGCGGTTGCGCCATGTTCCCGCCGGCAGGCGGCTTCGGCGTCACCCAGTAGACCTCGCCCGCGGCCCTCGAGCCGTCGACGCCCATGATGCCGTGGCTGGTGGCGATGAGGGCGTCGAGGCCGCTGGAGCCTGAGGTCGACGGCGGACAGGTGCGGGCTGTGTGCATTGTGAGGCCGCGCACGGGGGAGGTGTAGGATACGTAGGCGCCCGTGTCGCCGAGCAGCCAGGTCGGTCTCCGGCCGCCGTACTGCTCGAGAAAGTGCCCTTCCCAGTTGCCTTCGCCGAGGTCGGCCGGGCGGGCGGGCTGGAAGAGGTTGATCTTGCCTCGCGAGCTCATGTCGGGACCGCTCGCGGCGGTCGAGGTGACTATCATGGTATGAGAGGCTTGGTGGTATGAGATTGAGGAGATGTCGTCTTGGATTGCCTCCACCCGTAGCGCAGACAGCCGTGAAGCGCGCATCCGTTGCGTGATGCCAAAGTTGATCTTATCGTCCTTGTCGGTAGGTAGGTAGGAGGCTTGGAGCTGCCGACCATCAACAGCTGTTTTGAGAATTAGCTATATCAATAAGTTTAGACTTTGGCGAGAACATACCTGCGTAGACCATGCCCAATCCAGCCTCCTCGTCGCCTCCCTCGACGAGGAGACACGATATGTTGGGTGCATCCGGGCTCTGCTCCTGACCAGGCCAGAATGACACCTCGCCCCTCTGGCGCAGGCCGGCGGTCCAGCTCTCGACGGGCAGCTCGGGATCTACGACACCAAACTCGCGGGCCAGCCTCCCTCCGGCCAGGGGATGGGCGAGGAGGCTGGATCGCTTGATGCAGCCCTTCAGCTTCTCCTGCCGCTTGCGCTTCTGCTGGGCTTGGGCCTTCTCAGCCTTTCGCTTCTTGACGTTCCCAGCGGCCCAGGCTGCATTGGATGGCGCTGTGGGGTGTGACTCAATCTTGAAGTATCGCTTCTTCTCCTCGTCTGTGGGGCAACGTCAGCGAGTGTGGTGGTGGAGCAATGGAAACTGGTTGACTGACCGTAGTAGAACCCGGGAATTTCACGTGGCAGCCTGGGCGCCAGGTTCGACAAAAAGGCCATGTTGACAAGTCACTTGGAAGCGTACTTCTCGATCTTCTGTGACTGCCACGAGCAGGCCGTGTCCGATGTTTCGGAGTGGGCCGTGGGTAAAGGCGGTCTCGGTCCAGCGTTGCGGACTTCACTTTGACTGCTTAGTCGTCGAAACCCGAGACTTCCATGTGAGCATGTCCATAGGAATTAGATTGATCAGGCCAGTAGCTGGAGATTCACAACTCTCATTCTGACATATTTCGTTGCTGAGGAATAGGCTCAAAGTTGCCAGAAAAGTGAGGTCAAGGCGACCACAGTCTGGTCACGTGCCATGGCCAGATTCAGCATGTTGCTGGGAATTGAAGTCGGGGACTCTTGTTCACATTGCAACAACTAGGACCAAAGCAGAGACAAGACGACAAGATAGTTTACATGGTGAAAATAGTTATTTCGAGTATGACTAGTTACAATAGTCCCCAGCCTTGTCGCTCCAACAACCACGGAAGAGAAAGTGATGGGTAGGTAGGTGTGGCCTAGGTACGCTGTGCAGTCTACGCAACAACACGCGCACGAATCCAGAAAAAGTTGGAAACATTGTTCCGGTACTGGTACACACTCCATGATCCATTGCTCCGGCACCGAATGCCTCGCTAAAGCAGAGCCCCTATCCGGCGCGCATATCCACCTCCATCTCCACGTCCACTCCCACCGGCACCCGGGCACCGGGCAGCACCGCTCTTTGAGCCTCACCGACTCATCAGCAGCAACACGGGGAAAGAAGATCCCATCCTTCTAGAAGCCTGCTGCATGTAGCATTCCTTCCCCTGAGGGAAACCCTGAGGGCTCATCCGGGTGGGCTGCTGCATATGCACATGCAGCCTATACGGGCCTGACGGGCCTGACGGGGTACGGAACCGCACAGTACTTGGAACGGAAGAGGGCCCTACTCCCCCAGGCCAAGGCTAAAGGCTCGATGCCGGGCGGTGGCGGCGGCTCCACCGCGGTGCATGAAGATGCGGACGCATCTCGGGCCATTGCCGTTGGCGATGAGGGAATTTTGGATCTTTTTGGGCCGGCCGAGTCGAATTCCCTCACAGTCCTGGGACAGTGTGAGGCGCCAACCCCACGCGGTTCCTGGCTGTGTACACAGTTTCTTACAGTATGGTCGTGGGCATAGCATGGCCACGACAATTGACAAGGGCCGTCCAAGAGTGGGAAGGCTTCGTTCGATTCATGTGAAAATCCCACCCTGTGCCTGCTGATGCCGCTGTGCAGATGCAGCCACTTTACAGAGAGCGGATCTCCTTAACCCAAGTAGCAAAGCCTCTTAGGTACCCACGCTGTGCCCACGGCTGCCACGCCAGGTACCATCATAGTAGTACGACGGGGAGGCCAGCCTGGCGAGCCTGGCGAGGCACAGAGGCGAGGGAAACGGCGAGGGCGGTGGGTGTGGACGAGCCCCTCCTTTTGGCTCAGTCTGTCTGCCAATGCCCCTCCACACCACCCCTCCCCTACCCTCCCCATCAAGACTTTTCTACCTGACCTGACCTCACCCGACCCAAGCTCGACACCACCACCCTTCGGCTACTCCGTCCTAGCTTCACCTCCCAAACACTTCACAAACCTACCCACCGAGCAATCAGCAAAGCCCAACCCGAGAAGCCGAGAAAGCAAAAGCCAGCCCGCCCAACATGGTCTACGTAATCACCGTCCACCTGCACGCCAACGACCAGCCCGACAGCGTCGACAGGATCAAGGCCAAGCTGATCGAGGCGTCGCGCGTCTACTCCAAGGACAAGGAGACGCTCAGCTGGTTCGTCTCGCAGTCCACCTCGGACCCCCGCGACTTCACCATCGTCGAGCGCTACGAGAAGGAGAGCGTAAGTAGAATACCAAAAACCTTTTCCCCCAAAAGCAGTCCCTCCAGCAGCGAGCCCCTCTCAATGTATGGGCCGGCCATCCGAACCCAAGAGAGAGGGAAAAAACTATGTCTATCAGACCAGGTAATTGACAGGAGGAAATGCGTTTTCTCTATCGCATACAGTCCCAGAAGTATCACCTCGAGAACCCCTACTGGAAGACCTTTGACCCCTACGTCATCCCTCTCCTCGATAGGCCTATGGACCTGCGCCGTTCCGAGGAGCTCGACACCAGCAAGGACGTCGTCGTGCCGGCTTAGATACCTCACGCACATAAACAAAATATACATACACACCGGTATACTTGCATGTTAGTGAATCAATCAAGACCAGTAGTCCTAGTACCGCACGTGATTAGCGCAACAATACCAAGCAGCTGGTTGCTGGCCTACATCGGATCTCGTAGTGTTGTAGTTGCATTACGTGGAAATGATTGTGCCAGGCGGTTCGAGCCTGAGCCTGGATATCACGTGTTCTAGAGTTGCTTGACGCAGAGCACAGCCCACTAAGTGCTGTTTCATGTTCACAATCATAGCTAGTTGCGAAAACATTCAAGATCAACACGAGAGCATGCTTCTACAAGAATTGGGGCATTAACTGATTTGAATTAAGTTCCTCTAATGAACTGACGGGCTTCCAGCTCCATCGTCTTTAATGCACATGCTAATTAACTAAAATTGAAAGCCTTTGGCCGCATGTTTGCAGACAATGTAAGGTCGACCTTGGGTATATCTTATCTCTCGACCCTCTCCTACTGGGTCTTCTCGTGTTGCGTAGACACACGTTGGAGAGAAACAACTGTGGACGGGTGTTAGCACTCTGCTCGTTATGGGTTGATCTTTGAAATGGGTTGTATGACTTACCGAAATCCTCGAGGGATCGTTGCTTCTGGTTGCCCTTTGGCGACTTGCCGTGCATAAGGTTGTCGAATCCAACGCTGTCCTGGAGGAGGTAGTAGACACCTCCCATGACACAGAAGATACCGAAGGAGTAGATCCAGATACGGACGACGGCGACGATGGAGGTCTGGTCACCACCAACGAACCATCCGAAGATACAGAAGAGGGAGGCAATGATATCGACAACGACGATAGCGCCGCTGAGTTGCCACGAAGGAATGGAAGACCAGAAAGGACCGTTGGCACGGGTGATGAAGATCAGCCAGTTCTCAGTCAGGGAGATCTCGAGGAAGACAACCTCATCCAGGTTACCGAAGTTCTGGACGATACCACCGTCGGTGCCACCAGCGTACATGGTGGTGACAGTGATCCAGGTACCGACAGCCAGGACAACACCGAGGAGGACGGACATTCCCCAGAGCTTGGGCAGGTTCCACTTGACAGGCGTCCTGCTGAATGGTGCGTTGTCGTAGGCAATAGCAAGAGTGGCGATATCAGCGAAAATGGCGATGAAGACAACCAGCTCAATGTTCAGCGATCGGTTGAGGATAGCGATCCAGAGACCAAGGTAGATCTCAAGGTGAATGGACAGAGCAATACGGTAGACGACGTAAGCGTACATACGGTGGAAAATCTGGCGAGAAGTCTTCAGAGCGTCGATGATAGCACCAAGACCGGGGGCAAGGAAGACAATGTCGGCAGCAGAGCGGGCAGCGTCGGAGGCACCCTCGACAGCAATACCGGTATCAGCCTTCTTCAGGGAGGGAGCATCGTTGACACCGTCACCAGTCATGGCAACCAGGTAGCCACGCTGCTGGAGAATCTCGACGACGTTGTACTTGTGCTGGGGGAAGACCTCAGCGAAACCATCGGCAGCCTCGACGAAATCGTACACCTCAGAACCAGGCATGTCACCGCCGCCACCGAGACCGAGACGCTCAGCGTTGTAGACGTTGGTACCAAGACCGAGCTGACGGGAAGTCTCACGAGCGATACCGACGGCATCACCAGTCAACATCTTGATGGACAGACCCAGAGTCTTCGCCTCGTTGATGGTCTTAGCAGTGTCGTGACGAGGGGGGTCAGAGCAAGGCATGATTCCGAGGATCTCCCAAGAGCCCTCACCACGCTTGCGGGCAACACCGAGAGAACGGAAACCACGGGTAGCGAACTCAGCAACCTTGTTCTTGTAGGCCTGGTCGACCTCCTCAGGGATGGGGTGGTCCTCCTCGACGGTCTTGAGAACGAACAGAGGGGCACCCTTGACACAGGTGATGCGCTCACCCTGGGGGGACTCGACGATGGCGGTGACCTTCTTGGAGACAGGGTCGAAGGGGAAGAAGTTGATGACCTTGTACTTGGAGAGGACAGACTTGGCGCGGGGGTAGTACTTCAGGGACTTCAGGAAGGCCTTGTCGATGGCATCAATACCCTTCTTCTTGCGGGAAGCAGCCAAGCAAGCAGTGAGCATGAGATCCTCGGGGTCAACACCAGCGACACAGTAAGGCTCAGCCAGAGAGAGCTTGTTCTTGGTCAAGGTACCGGTCTTGTCAGAGCAGAGAATCTCGACACCAGCAAGAGACTCAATGGCGGAGAGCTTCTGGACAATAGCCTTCTTCTTAGCGAGGTAGGCAGCACCGACAGCCATGGTGGTGGTAACGACGGCAGGAAGACCGACGGGGACACCAATGATGGTAATGGCCAGAGTAAAGCGCAGGATGTCGACAATGGGGTTGGAGCGGTAGAAGCTGGAAACCCAGACGACAAGCAGGGTGAAGACGACGAGGATCAGCAAAACTGTTCCAATACCGTTCAGGACCTCAGTGAAGTGACCAGATCCAGCGTTGGCAGCGTTGACGAGGGCGGCGGCACGACCGACGAAGGTGTTGTCACCAGTGGCGGTAACAATGACGAAGGCCTCACCACGCTTGACCGAGGAGGAAGCGAAGCACTGGTCGCCCTTGTGCTTGTCGACAGCAAGAGATTCACCAGTGATGGCAGACTGGTCGACCTGCAGGAAAGCATCCTCGGTGACAATGCGACCGTCGGCGGGGATAATAGTACCCTCTTCGACCTGGAGAATATCGCCGGGAACAACCTCAGGGGCCTCGAGCTCCTTCAGGGTGCCGTCACGCAGGACGACAGCCTTGAGAGCGAGAGTCTTCTTGAGTTCGTCGACAATGGAACCAGCTTGGAATTCTTGGATGAAACCAACACAGGCGTTAAGCAGGAGCAGGGCGCAAATGACACCGAAATCAACCCAATCCTCGAGACCAGCGGCCAGGACGGCGGCAGCCTCCATGACGAACTGGATAGGACCGACGAAGTACATGAAGAACTTGAGGATCATGTTCTCCTTCTCCTCCTTCATTTGGTTGAGACCATACTTCTTGCGGCGGGAGACGACCTCGGCCTCGGTAAGACCAGTGCGGGTATCCTGTGGGGGTGGGGCGGTTAGCAATTGGGTTTGTTGACATGGGATGGAGTTGGTGGATTGGGTATGGGAATCAATTGCTTACAGTTTGCAGCAGCTCCTCAGGGATCAGACGGCCACCGTGCTCGTCGCGCTCCTCCTCCTCGGCATCCTCGCCGTGTCCATCCTGGGACTCGAGGTCCTCAATCAGGGCGTCGATGTCCTCATCTTCGTCTTCGTCGTCCTCGACCTTTGGCTGCTTAGGCGGGGCGGATTCGACTGGGGCGGCGTGCTTCTCATCGAAGTTGCCAGACTCAATCTGCGTGTTCAACGCAGGAGAGTTGGAGTCGGCCATGGTGAATGTCGACTCACAGCTCCAATTGAATGGGTATTAAGTCACTAGTACACAATAAAGTGCTGGGTAATGGTAGAAAAGTTTGCGGGAAGGGTCCTCGGGGTTGTCGTCTGCAGACCGTGGGGTGATCAGGCAGGAAAAAAAGAGATGTAGTAATGTTTGTTTTTTTCCGTTGCTGACCTAAGTTGTGCTCGGAAGCTCCTGTCGCGGTGTTGATAACGCGAAGGAGATTGGGAGAGTCGCACGACAAAGGGTGAGAGGATTGTTGGGGGGGAGGGAGAAGCACCGTGAAGGTCGCACCTTTTCAGGTAAACTAGGTTCGACGCCTTCAAGTGGTGTTAGGGAGGGAAGGGGAAGGAAGAGAGAAGCGATCGAGTCGGGGACGAGGCACTCTTTATTAGGTTTGCGCTCCTGCCCTCGAGGTGCGAGCGAAGGCCCAGGGAAGGTACGGTACGTGGTAGTACGTACATGGGAAGGAGGAGGAATCGGGTGTGGGTGCAGCTCGAAAGGCAAGGTGCAGCGTGGGAAGAGAGGTACCGTGGTACCCTGGGTACTCTGTTGTTTCCCCTGCCTAGCGCAGTGGACGGCCGGCACTAGGTGCGTACCCAGGTACATTACAATTTGACCTGCATGGCTACGATGGATGTGTGTACATTCGGCAGGGTGCCCAGAAAAAACAAACCGCGCAAATCTGGACTGTGTGCAGCTCGCGGTGTTGACACTAGGCTGGGCCGTACGGCTTAGGCTGGCTTACCACGGTCGGCTATCTCCAGCGATGCGCGAAAAGAGGAAAAGAGCTCTCTTCTCTCGCTCGGCTTATTCCCACCGCAAGCTCGACCCCAGCGTGGGCCTGGGCATGGGGCGCCCTGGGTCGTCGCCGCCTAGTCCCTGCTCCACGCTCCTCTGGACCGTTCCCATACCGTGCGAATGACGAGAAAACGAAAAAAGTGGCCGGACCGTCCAAACAGAACAGAACAGAACAAAATGTCGTCCCCACTTCATCCCATCCCCCCGGCCAATCACACCGTCGTCTGGGGGAGCTTTGGCCAATGACGAGTCGGACGCAGCTCCCAATTGGAGTACTTCCGAATCAGAAGGCAACAGGTACCCCTGGCCCCGCAGCCGCAACCTGCTTTACCCCTGCCCGTCACAAGCCTGGCTGCTCCTGGCCCCCAGCTCTACTGCTTTTCTGCTTCTTATTGCCAGGTTGCTCTGCGTTGCTCTGCAGTGCTCTGCGTTGCCCTGCACAGAACCACCCCCGGACGCCCCAATCTCGCTCCCAGCCCGGAGCTTCGAGGTACATGACACCCTACTCCACCTCAGGTACCTCGCTCAATTCCTCTCCCATGTGGTGCTGCCAGATTCCACCTGTTCTGCGCTGTTTCTGCTCTCTGCCATTCCAGCCCAGTCCGAGTCCAGTCCAGTCCAGTCCAGTCCTACTCGCACTCTCCCGGCTGCTATCTATGGATGGGTAGGATGGATTGAGTGAGGGATTTTCTCTCGCTCGTACTCCGTACTCCGTCCCTCCCTACCTCGTCGCTGTGCGCCTCGCCCTCGGCATCATTTCGCGAGATGACGACACAAGGAACCTGCGGGTAGAGAAAACACCTCGCCCAGACTGGCGGTCAATTGCCATTGTCAATCAAATCATCAATCCCGGGGGCGGTAGGTCGGCTGAGGTGAGGCTATTTCCACCTCTTTTGCATTACGGTGACACCAATTGGTCTCTCCTTGCCCATCCTGCCAGCATTCAGCATCCATCATCCATCATCCCTTTCCCTAGCCCCGTGCCAAACCTTGTGTCCACTGTACGCACTCTAGATAGACACTTAGTACTACTGCGATATGGTTTCGCCTTGAGTCGGCAGCACGACCGCTGACATTGGCACTGACACTGGCACGGCCAAGCAAGATGCAACCCCACGCCAGACGCAGCGTCAACATTATTACAGTAGGAACCGTGCTCTCGATAAGAGTCAATATCGACATTTAGTCTTTGCTCCGAAGTCTGGAGGCGAAATGAGACAGCCATCCACGGGCCATGAGTCCCCATCGCCAAGGCACTCGGGACACTGTGATTTACAGTACGATGACACTCTGTCAGGCTGGCGGCTGGCCGGCCTGACAGCCGTCACGAGCCTTCCTGCCTGTCGGTGCTGATGGCTACTACAGTAATGACTACTGCTGGCTACTGACTGGCTGGCTGCAGCACTGCACAGTCATCAACATACTATGCAGCCAGACAGACAGGTCCTTCCCCAGACCCTCACTCCTCTTCTCCAGGTTTTCCATTTTTCCACTCTTGCTCTTGCCACCTCGGCGACAGCGACGGCAAACTTCGACACTAGCATTTGAGCATACAGTCCTGCCAACACTGGACAGGACTGTACCATACATACCATGGACTACACCCAAGTCAAGCCGGTCACGAACCCACGCGGTCTGCCTATCAGGCTGCCCGGGCGTCTGTGTGACAGAAGCGCAATGCATGTGCTTGGTCCTAGAGCAAAAAGGCAGATAGAATACAGTCCGTCAAGCTTTTTCCCGCCGTTTTTCACCTCGTCGGGTGAACAGGCTAGGGTCGACCTTGCTGTCCGGCCCAGCTTAGTCTTGGGCATGGAGCTCACCACAAGGATCCTCGTAGCTCCCGCACTTTGGGTCTTATCGCGTGCAGCCATGGCCGGGCCTTGACCTTGTTGATGCTGTCGAATTTTTTTTTTCTTCATCCGCACCCGCAGGTTTCATCTTGTTCGTCCCGCTCATCTCGTCCGGGCGAGCCTTCACACCTTGACGGCCCCGGGCCAATGGGCGTTGCCTCCTTACGAGAGACTGGCGTCGGCAGGATCTCGTCACATCGTCTACATAACACCGACACCCACCTGTACATCCATCCATGTAAGAGGCGAAAGTGCGAGGACAGCCGAAGCCGCACCGTACCACGGCACAAGTCCGCTTTTCCGCCTCGAAGTGCATCTGCAAGTTGCCAGCGGCCATTCCCTGCCGCCGTGGGCAGCGTGGGGTGGAAGAAGGGGAAGAGGGCCCTCCAGGCCAGCAGACCCAACCGGATCCCACATCCCACACCATTCCCCAGCGATTGACTGTGGACAGATGTGGAGCAGTTGCTGTTGATCACGCCTTGGCACTAGGGAGCTGCAGAGCTGCACGATGTCTCGTTTAGCTTCGAGGACAGTCTTCCGCTGAAACTACACCCTTCCCGACCAGGTGCGGTCCCAAAAACGGTCCAAAGCCTGCATTCTGCATGCGCCAATTGCCATGCAAGAGCCGCCGCCGGCCGCCTTCCTGTACGTCCCGAGGATCGAGTCGCGTGTGTCATTGTATGCACGTTGATGCTGCTCATGCAGCCAAATGACTACGACAGAGTCAGCAACGCTGGAAGCTGGGTGTGGAAGTGCCGATGATCCATGCCAATTCGTCTGGCTCGATACGTCATTTGCTCCGCCGATAGACAGGGTGTCAATTGGGTCCTTTCCTGTGGGCTCGCTGGCAAGCTGACAGGAAGTCTCTCCCAGCCTCGGAATCTTGAATTCTCAACTTACTGATCAGGCATCTGTAGCAGTTTGCCATGTACGGTATGTGCGTGCCATGCCGATCGAGCCGGCATAAATCGCCCGCGGTGTGTCTGGGGAACTCTGTCAGGGTTCCTAGCGCGGGAGGTTAAAACCCATCTGCGTCCCGAGGAACTGCACTGAACTGCTGCCGGGATGTGCGCTGACACGACCTACTGTAGCCACACTGAGACCGGTCCATGTACGGTCGCGAATTGTCGCTCACCGATTTGGCATTCCCGCTATCGGACTGGTCGGCGTCGGCATCACCGTGCTTCACCACCTGTCGCCACCACGTCGTGAGGATTTAGCAGCGAGAAATAACGCTACTGCGTCGATACTGTCTATTCGCTCATGCGTCGGCCTCGTCTTCCCCACGATTGCCGTCTCTGAGCAAGGAGGGGACCAAGATGGCATCGAATTAGAGGCAGATTGCCAGCTCAGCACATGGCGTTTCAGACGGGATGCCCTGTCGCGATTTTGGGCTAAAACAAAATAACCCTTTATTTGTCTGTCACGTATCCTTTCGTGGCAAGCAATACCCTCAACACTGTAATGAGCGCGAGGCAGTCTACCTTAAGCTTTGGTCGACAAAGAGAATGGGCAATGCGCATGATGTCAAAGTCAGCCGGTGATTGACAATTAGAATTGCCGCCGACTTGGCTGTGATCCAGACCTAACATTGGAAATCACGAACATATTGTCTAACATTGTCGAATTACCACGCCGTTGCAGTCAATGCAGTATTCAATCAGCTGTCATCCAGCGCATGTTACAACGTCTAACGGCCCGAGCGTCCTCACGAAGACACCTTTAGTACTCGGCTCTCCATGGCGCCCTATTTGTTATGCATGATTGCCATTTGCCCATAGTTGCAAAAGCAGACAGATAGGACACTGGCCGTTGCTAGCGCCACATAAGCTGCTAATACGGTACAGTGGCCTAATAGGCCTCACCGACGGGAATTCCTTGTGCCAGCGTGGTCGCGTGGGCACTGGGTAGCGACCCAACGGCGCGCCCCAGCAAAAACATCCGAGAATTCTCCATAGTCAATTCTGCTGGCTCGCGCATACACCATCCGGGTCAGCGGTTGTGTGCCTTGGCCTGCCGTGCCCGGAAGAGGGCTGTCCATCAAGGAGTTGCAGCCAAGGTGGCCGAAAAACTCACAGACCAACTCCGCCAGCTGCGCCGATGCTCTAGCACACTGCTGGCGGCCTGGCACCAGACGTCAAGAGCACAGGAGCACCACAAAAGGGCCGTCTCCAGGTCCCCGTCCTGCCTCCTGAGTCCTGGACGATCCCCGTCAATCAGAAGAAGCGACGGAAGAACGAGTGGGCACTGGAATATATGGATCGCGTCGGTGCTATCGGCTCGAGCGACTGGTGCTAAACCGTTCTTAGAATGCACCCTGGCATGCCATCGCCTGGGGTCCAA